TTCACTGATCACCGGACAAACAGACTGACGAGAGAAAACAGTGGGGGGGGGAGAGAGGGAGAGGGGGGGAGGGAGAGAGCGAGAGAGAGAGCGCGCGAGAGAGAGAGCGCGCGAGAGAGAGAGAGAGAGAGAGAGAGAGAGAAACAACTTTCTCGGTATCCCTAAACGTGAATTTCCGATGAAATCTCGTTATCATTACGTAACTTTCTCTATATTACTCCATATGTACCTATGTAGAGAGAGATTTTTAATAAATGCGGTGGAATATAATAAATTGATGAATTGTTTGGAAAATTGTTTCATCCAAGTGTAAATATCATTTGACATTCAGAGAGAGGTATATTGTGTTATTATTTGATAGATATTATTTATATAAATTTTAAAATTATTTTCACATTTCCACAATTATTTCTTCTGCGGCCGCACGGAACGGACTGAACGGACGGACACGGTACCAGCTTGTAATAGATAATTTTCATATTTTGTACAAGAAAAGCTTGTATTTTAGAGAAGTCTTGTCTAGTTAAAAAAGTTGTTCAAATGCCCTTTTAAAACAAATGTTTTCTTGAATTTGAAAGGTTTAGTAATCATTGATGTCATCATAGACATTGAAAATGACGTCAGTAATTATGAAAGACAATGGTGACGAATTGTACAATGAAGGCAAGTAGTGTTAAGGAATGTTATTGAATAAAAAAATAACCCATGCATCAAAAATGGGTTTATTTCTTTAGCAAACATGTAGCCCCTAACTTTGCAAAATTAGTTGTATTTGTATTGCCCATTCATGATAGTAATGTGCTAACCTTTATACTGACAAGAAAAACAAATGCGTGCTGGAATCCATTGAAAGTGAACCTTTAAGTGTAAATAAACTTGAAGTACAAGCTGTTCACGATCTCACCTCAGCAAAACATAGCACACTTTTGACAAGAAACAAGAAGTTTAAAAAAAAATGGTTTTCTGATACTCCCTCTCAAACATATTTTTCTCCCACTTCTGTGAGAAATGATATTTGCTGCCGCTTTAAACAGCATAGTAGTAAATAATAGTACATTATAATGCTGTGGGGGAAAAGCGACTATTAACTAGAGTTGCTTCAAAATGGCATACTGCCTCAAACATTCAGAGTTGACAGTGAAAATGGGGCCTGATTCGTCTTTAGAAGTGTATATCACTTTATTACTAGAAGAAATATAAAGAAAACAATATGGAGCCGTTTTTGAGAAAATTTTGAAAATGTCCCAGGGGCTTCATGTTAAGTACCTCGAAAATTTAAATATCTATCAAAGTATCTGTTATTGCTCATAATTCCTTTATATCCAACCCAAAAAATTATTTTTTATGTAATTGGTTCAAATTTTAATAAAGCATTAAAATTTCCTTGAATTTTATTTTACTGTACATTGCTATTAGATTAAAAACTATCTTACGCCTTACTTCTGGCCTCTAGCGAAACTATTAGTAACCAGTACAATTATACTGTGGTACTCATGAAGCTAGTGATACATAGGTCCACAAAACTTAATTATTCAAACACTATTTTTACTTTTGTAGTTACTAACGTAAGAAAAGAAAGTATTACAATCATGCGCGGGAAAACGCCGAATTTTTGACACATAAACTTATTGCTGGGCCTTGGTAACGAAAAAGTGGATAAATCCAATTGCCAAATATAGGAAAATTATTCTTTAGCACATGGTGTAGCCAGAAACCATATTTTGAACGTCCTTCATACCGAAAAATCGATTGACGGCAAAACATCTGCGCACAACGGTAGCGCATAAACCATTCAGCCGATTTTCTCCAATCGTTCTGGCTGATGTCTCGGCCTGTGGAATTTGAAACCGATATTTGAATTTTAGGGGGGTACTTTACATAAAGCCACCCGTATATTTTCACAAAACAAAATGGCTCCTATTGTTTTGATTCAATTTTGTTGTTGAATAGTGAGAAGGACGTTTAAGAGAATGGCGCAGGTCCTTTTCTACGTTATATCCCTGTTTTTTCGAAAATTGCAAAAACAATTTTTAAAACTTCAAAATTGAAGATAAGAGATTTTGCCTCAGGCAAAGTATATTATTCAAAATTCTCTTTAAAAAAGGTTGTTTTTGTTAAAATTAGTAGTTTTCGCGTAATTTGTTTGAAATTAATGAAGCACATATGGGCGTCCCGTCGCACATAACGATAACATGTAATATTGCGAGAAAGTATGTGAGTTCTATAATCCAAATTTGTGGAGCCCATGATGCTGAAAATTTGAAGGCAAAAAGTCTGTTGGTTTGTCTGTAGTCAAAACAAAATTAATATTCTCCGATCGTTGGGGACGAACTTCGGGAGTTTCAACCGAATATTTTGATATTTGAGGGCACTTTACAAGAAAGCCTCAAAACATTTTTCAAAATTTGTTAAAAAGTGGACTCAACTTTTTTTTATTTAACTTTGTCTTCGGCTAGCGTGAAGGGTTTGAGAGAAGGGCAAGTCTCATATTCGTTGAAATCCCAGACTTTTTTTGAAAATTGACGAAGTGCAATTTTCTCGGCGTCTTCCTACAACTACAAAAATGAAGATAGAAAATTTTCCTTCAAATTAAATTTGTTCACTGTAATTAGTTTTCTCATTGAGGTGACGTAGATGTTTTTGAAAATTTTGACAGTTTTTGTGCAAGATGGCGTGAAATTAAAAAATACCAGAAACAAGAATTTCTCCCAAACTGCACCAATTTTTTTCTTACATCTTTTGGTAGCAATACTACTAAATTAACTGTATAACGTACTATACTTTTGTTTTTTTTTAATTACACAAATGTAATTTTGTCCAATCTCTCATGTTAATTTCGTAAAATCTGTCTTAAGCCGGAATCTATCGGGACAAAAAAAGTTCCGGTTTAGGGAGGTTTCAAGTATATGCAGGGTGGTCCATTACGACACTTACTATATTTATATTTCTGTTATGAATCTAGTAAATTGAAGTAAAGAAGTAATTAAAATAAAATGAAAATTAAATGATTTTGTTATGATTAAAGTAGATTTACATACAACGAATTTATGGAAGGAATCACCAATAAATTAATATTATTCTACATTGGCAGCTTCTGAGTTTCTCTCTCTTCCACAAGTTTCACCTTTCATCTGATTTTAGAATATGTTAGAATTTTATGGTTTTCGCATTGTGAAACTGAAAAATACACACCACCTCACTGCGTAATGCCTACTGAATCTTTCGACGCACAATGCGTCACAGTCCATACTACTATGATTTTCTGATAGCCTCGGATGGCTTTGAGCAATGCATCTGTAGACGAGGGGTTACGATTTTGAACGTGGGACAAAGATTGACGCGAATAGCCCGTGCACCTTCCCATGTTCGGAGAAGAGGGGAGGAGGAATTCCCCTACGCCTTGAGAGACGAGTGACCCCAAGGTCGATCTGAGCTGTCAGCTGTATTCCCTCTCCTTCACAGTGTGGTTTGCCACGACTAAATCGCATGGGATACAGAATTTAAAATAGACCTGTAGGTGCATGCATTCAAAATGCCACGAGTCTCTGCCAATCGCATTGAATTCGCAGGCATTCTGTTCCGTTCTGCGTTGGACAGATTCCACTTTATGCTGTGAAAAATACCATATAAATGAGCCAGAGAAAATTTCCGGTCAAGGGCAGATTTCGGCTTGTACAGGTTCCAGTTTAGACAAATGTTACTGTTTTTACATTAGCGGCGATTATTGCATTTATGAGTACGTGCTTCAAATGATATCTGACAAATGTTTTCTGTAGAAATGAACACTAAATTCCGCATTTTCAGAATCGTTCGAAGGACATTTTCTCGAAAAGTGCTCCGATTATTTTCTTTAATTTTTTTTTTTTTTTGAAGGGATAGTGCTAAATAAACTGAATGGCAAAATGGTGCTTTCATGAATTCTTCTGTTTTTAAAAAATATCTTTCACCCTGTTAATATTTACATTACCGGCAATTTCTACACATTATTGCATTTGTGAGTACATTCGCTTTAAATAATTTCTTAAAATCTCACAAGTTTTGGGTGAAAATACCTTCAAATTGCGCATTTTCAGAAATGCACAAATGACATTGTCTTAAAAACGGTTCCAATTTTTTCAATGAAAATTGCTATATTGGACGAGCTTTTACTCTTATATAATAGTCTTAATAGTAATGTTTCAGTTCTACCATCATGAGATCGAAAAATTTAGAAAATATGAAAAAATATAGTTTGGACGGCGATAAATGGCAGTGGGGAAGAGGATGTGAAGAACCAAAGACCTAGCTCAGACCAAAGAAATTACTAAAGTAGAACGAGAAAGTCTGTGCCATTCTGTTGCACTTAAGTTTGTGTGTTCAAGAGATTTCGAAGGTAGCTGTATAGCTCCTTTTGCTATTCCTTTGCGCAAGGGCCGTAGTGGGTGGGTAGCTCGAGAGATTTCACGAAATATGTTTGGTCGTTGTTCAGGTCTGCTGCCGCATTAGGAAGGGTTGTCCGGCAGCAAGAGGGTCGCCTAAGGCCTGTGACTCTCGAGCGTTGTGTTGCCGCACGTCATCTAATGCTAATGACCTCAGATGCGTCGATGCCTGCACACACGAGTCACAGCGCTTCGTGTATTAACACCGTTTCTTATGCGAAACGGCAAATGAGCACTCTTGATGATGTGTGTCGTCTAGCGGGCGTCGGGCGTTGTCAACTTACGTTGTAGCTTGAGCTGTTGGCACAAAGCAGGTCGCCAAGACGTGTTGCCAAGCGTGTTAAGTGACTCGTTGAGCAGGAGTCATCGCATCTGACGTTTTCAGTGGGGAACGGATTTTTAGGTTAAAACATTTTGAATTGTCCTTTCGGGACTTGGCGGAAAGGTGTATTGCGTCACCCTGAACCCCCAAATAGTATCCAATCTATATTTCGCGTATAGTATATATATATTATATATATATATATATATATATTTATATATATATATATATATATATATATATATATAATATATATATAGTATATATATATATATATATTGGGAACGTGATTGAGTGCTGCAGAGTACATACTATGCATATGTTTGAAGGTTTCAAAGCTGATCTATGATCTGAACAAAGATTTAGCTTCTTCAATTGAAATTCTAGTTACTGCTGAATAATCCAAATATTAAAAACTATTTGGTCAACATTGCATCAGTTTTCTCTTTTCTGACCAAGGTTATAAAGACACTAGAAAAATGTAACAGTTCTCAAGCAGTGAAACTAATATCAAGTTGAAGAAAAACTGGCAAGTCTGAAAGGTCCACATGCTGACACAGTTCAAATTTAAGGACATATTAAATAAAACAAGGATATCAAGATATTTCTTAAATTTTGAGAATTCTGCAAGGCAAAGGAAGGAGGAAATGTAAGTGATATTGTTTGTTTGAAATACACTCCAATAACGTCTTGTGATGTATAATGTACTTTTTTGCGTTATAAAGCCCTCTTTCAAGGAAATCAACTAAGGTTTGCCTTGGAATAATCTGAAGATGACCTTTACCTACACTGTAATACCAACGTTAAAGCTGATATGTTTTCAAAAGATAAGTTGATATAAGCTCAGCAATAGTCATATTCACAAAATAATCTTTTATTTTTACCACATATGTATTTTCCTACCTTTCCCACATGGAGGTTTTGCTAACAAAAATGTAGATTGTTGTTGTTGCTGCACTCCATTACTTATCAGTTGTGTACCTAATTGTGCTCCGAACGCTGATACCAGCACGTTTTATACGAGCTCCCAATGTAGGCTCTGCACATGGTGTATACTTCATTTTAATCATGTAAATGTGTACAAGATTTTTAGAACTTGATGTAAGTAGTTTTAAGTTTTACATATTTTTTATCTTGTGAATTTAATGTCTACTAAATTGTAACTATTTTAACTCTGTATACTTGTAGTACCTCTTGACAAAGTGCATACATGGTGTGCTAAGTCCTCGCTCAAGGCCTTGTGAATTTAAGATAATCCTAATTTTAGGGGATTAAAAAAGGGCATAAATGCAGCACCTAGAACATTATTGAAATGATGTTATAAATGGTGCTAATTAGTTTCTTTATAATTTTTGCTTGAATAGAGGAAAGTACACATAAAAGCTTATGAGAGTATAAGAGCAAAAGAGTTCATGTTTATTTTTGTCAGTGTTATTTATGATTTACAATTCCCATTCAATTCTATTTATAATTTAAGAAATGTTAATATGCCCCAGGTTGGGAATAAGATAAAAACTGGAACAACAAAGAAAATACAACAAACAAATTACTTTTCATCATAAAATTCATTGCAACAATTTATTCTAATCGATTCATTTTTAAAGATGCTTATTACAGCAGATAACAGACAATATTTTTTTAAATAGATTCTCACACAGTACAATGCAAAGTAGACAATATAAGAAAGACACTGATGGTAACACTTCCAAATAATTTTATTCATACAATACATAGAAATGGTTACAAGTACTCTACTTCTAAATGTATTATGCAGAACACAGTCAACAAAGTTATTCAAACAATCACGCTTCCAGATCATACACAAAAAGCACTTCTCGATTCTGTAGACCAGCTTCTTTAAGTGTTAGTAAACGTCCTTCACTTTGGGGAGAACACTGCAAGACTTTCTTGGGAAAGTTTGTAGCAATTTCAAAGTTGTCAGGAGAAAGTGGATGACAAAATACATAATAAAAGATGGCCTGAAAGAAAATTACAAAACTAATAAAAATTAAGCACGGTTTTTGAAAAAATTTAATTTGGAAATATGGAGAAAACTCTAAATTGTAAATAACTTTTAAGTTCTCTTAAACAAAAGAATTAATGAGGGCATCATAAAAAATCCACATCAGACCATAAAAACAAATTTGGTTAATGGTTAAGAGCTTTATTAGGAGATATAATGTATCCATATACATGGATGAATGCACTGCCATAAAACAAGATAAGCAACTGATTTCTATTGAAAGAAACAAAGTTATGGAAACAGTTTACATATTTTTTATCTTGAATGTTAAAAAAAAATCAGCACTGCAGAAATATGGCAGTTATGCATTTTATAAACATAATTACACTATAAATACAAAGTATTATTTTGGAAATATCTTTTTACACTAATCTTAACAGACCTGCAGGGTATCCGTTCGTAAAAATCTTCGCTCAAGTCGTGTTCCATCTGGCAATTTGATCACCATATGAACTGCTTCTGGACAATCTGTAGGTGGCTCATCAGGCACATGCGTCAGGAACTCAATCTTCTGGCGTTGTATTTCCTAAGCAAAGAGAATAAATCAAACTACATGATGAATTGGATGCAAGTTGCTTCTCTTCTAACATAATTTGTTCTTAACCCTCTGCCAGGCACGTTTTTGCATGCTCTGCATGACTTTTTTTTTTATTTCTTCAAATATGTTTGGGAATTTTATAAGCCATTGAGGTAAACAATTAAATATATATTCAATAATTAATCTTTGTCTACCTATGATTCATTCATGTATTGTTGGCAATTGCATGTCAGTGATTTTTGTGTTATTATCACATTGCAAGATGAACAAGTCTGGAAAAAGTGAAACAGTAGCCAGGCCCATGGCGATGTTTGAACTGCATTCTTACTGAAATGAGAGAAGTTTTGCAACCCATTAAGGGCTCAGAAAGTGCAGAAATTTCCTTTTCAAAAATATAATGCAAAGAGATCTTCTAAAGACTAGTAAATACTATTGGTGCTGCATTCTGAAACTTGCAAAGTGCAGTTCAAACAATCCAAATGCTCCCAGCAGAGGGTTAAGACAAAAAGTTATAATTAAAACTATATGCATACTATTATAAACATACACACACAAACATGTTATTCTATGAGATAGTGTTGTGACTATGTTGTCAAAATATTTCATGATAACGCCTCCTTATCTTTCTCCTATACATAGCAGGAATAGATTCTGCAAAAAAATCTGTCATGATTTTGCCAGAAATATTACAAGTTTTGGGGATTAGGTCCCCCCCCCTCTCTTCTTCTTCTGTCTTTCAATGTTTGACTCTTTGTTCATTTGAACCAGCACCTAACACCATACACAGAATGTTGCCCAAAATAGAACCCCCAAACTCCCCAAGTTAGCTAGAGATTTATGTTTAATGTAATCTACTCTTCAATATTAAATCTTTAACTCATATCATTGACAATTTTTTCGAAGTATTGGATTTTCATGTAATTTTGAGTCAAATCATGACAGTAATGTACAAGTATACGAAAATATCTTTTTCAAAAACTTCTGTAACATGCATGCACACACACTTGCACCTCCCGACACACACATAAAAGACAAACAACAAAAACCTTCTTCTGTATCAGGGGCTTGGAAAACAGTTTTTCTACTGAAATATCAGAACTTTTCCCTACAGCATTATAATTTGAGAAAGTAAAGACAAGTGTTGACCACTTTCCAGAAAGGACTAAATCAAAATATCTTCTTAGAAGGTAAAGAAATTAGTTTCCCAATCAATTTTTAAGTAAAAATAAGAAAATATTTTCATTCGATTCAGAACTTTTGGATGCAAATATTGATATTTGTAAGCATGTAGAAAAGATTTTAAATTCAATATAAAGAACAGTAGGTACATTTTGCAAAACTTGCTTGAAACAAAAAACCGAGAAGAGAAAATAGATGAATCCATTCTTCGGGGAAAAGTGAATGACCCACCTCTCGACGCTGCTGCTCCTGGTGCTCCCGTTCTCGTTGCTGTCGAGCCTCCCCCTCCAGACGTTCACGCTCCTCGCACCTCCGGCGCTCCTTCTCTTGATCAGCCAGCAATGACTCCATGTAAGCCTGATCTTGTTGTTGCCTAAGTGTCTGATTAAAATTCCTTTCAACCCTGAAGAAATACCAAATTACATAAGAAACAATTCCAATTTCTCACCAAGTTTTAAGAACTATTTTTATTATAATAAGAGTTCATAATTTATGTCAGGAATTGTGTATCATGAAATGACAGCTACATACAGCTCTTTTCCTGCAAGAAACTTTTGAACTCATTTTCATAGCAAGTGAAATGCCAGAACTAACTATTGAATGGTCTTGGCTGTCCGGGTGACGCACGTCAAAGGCTGTTTTGCCAACATCTATCGTAGACCAGCCCTGAAGAAGACCACGGTGAAAATGTTGGCAATACAGCCTTCAACGCAGCGTCACCCAGACAGCCAAGACCATTCACATAACTCTGGACGCGGAAGCGTACGTCTACAGAACTAACTATTGCCAGAAAGTATTACAAAAAAAAAGGCTAACAAGTAAATTGTAAAAGAACTAATTTTTTAAATTTATATGTTTATTCTATGTACTAAGAAAACACATGTTGAATCACAGGGCCAGAGAAGATTAGAATTATAACATAAAAAATGTGATAATTTTTTGGATAAAGTAGAAAATAATATTTCCTGAATGTCCTGCTCTAATAAGAATTTTTATTTAGAATGTCACCTATTATCCGTTCACGCTAAGAACAAACCTGATGTAAACAAATACACATGCTTGGATGATTCTCATTGCTTTGCAGTATGCGCTCTGCTGTAGGAATACAGTAAATAGTTCTCTGAAAACTAATTTTTCTGCCATCGTATTATAAATTAACCTTTGTTTCGTAATTCTTTCTTTGGTTGTCTTCTTGTATAGTATTTGACAGGTTGGACTACTTCATTCAATTAAATTAATCTTGCATGAAACTTATGGGAACAGTTTCAAAAAACAAGGCCATTGTGAACTGCATAGGCGTCAGGCACTAAGATTACGAGTCTCTGAAAGTTCAGCCCACAAATGTGCCAACTGACATAGGTCAGGCACGTGGGCCTTGGTTTGTGGGACCATGGCGGCGTGCCGCTCATCAGCCTGCGAGGCTCAGCAATTCAGTTTGATTTAGAATGTCAGTGTGGCTGGCCCTTCAGTAATTAAACACAGGAGTGGATAATTTTTTTTGAAGTGGTGAAAAGCACCTTGTTCTGAATGTTTTCAATTCGTAATTGCATAGGAATCTGTCGTTACCAGTGAAGCAAATCGCTGAACTTGCAGAGTTCACTGGAATATTTGTTTCCAGCGTATTGGGACTCAGGAAAGAGCTCATAGCAAGGAGAAACTAACACCAAAGCTTGCAAAATTGTTGCAGCTTGTGAGCAGTAATCTGAATTTAATGCGAACCAATTTATACAAATTATTGACAACCGGCTATGTTTCAAAGAAGAAGGAGAAGAAATCTTATTCAAGGCAGGGTTCACATCATTTTCCTTCCTGAAGCAGACTGATCGTAAGTACAATAGTTGCATGAGCACGACATTTGAATGACATTCTAATTCAATTTGAATTGGCAGGGTATACTGCGCACGTAATGCGCTAGAAGTTGTCTAATCAGAAGCAAAGTGTGGCGCAAAGATTTCTTCAGTTTGTTTACATCATGTTTATTCTTGGTGGGAATAACAGTTAGTTAGAGTTTGAACAATTACAGACTGATTCAGTGCAATTATTAAGTGAGAATAATGAAATTTTGTATTGAATATGACTTGTATTTATACACCAAGTCTTGTATAAGAAATAAAACTAAATAAATGGGATTTGAAAATGTCCTTGAAGAAATTTGTTTTGCTGAAAACAGCTTGACACTGATAACAAAGCAAACATGAAAGGATATGTCACTTCAAGATGTAAAAGAATGAAACTATTTCATGCAATTCAATGAACACGATAAACTTAAAATCATTTGTGACAACATAAATTTAATTTTAAATTTATTTACTGGAATGGCTATATCTGATGACCCCTACTATAACTATTTTTAAAAGAATTGACTCTGAATAATGTAAATGCCCATTATAAAAGAATGAAACTAAGGTTCCGAGTCAGAGTCAATAAATTCTTAGCTGTCCGGGACATCTGGCATCCAAGGCGACGTGAAAAATATCTATCTCAGAGGAAGGTCGCAGAATGATGAGTAAAATATTGACAACCCTTCCTAGAATTTTGGTTTTTCGTGTTTCAATTCTCTTGATCTTGGGATTAATTTTATCCAACTTTTTAATTTCTTCTATTCACATTTAATGTCTTATTTGTGAAGGCATTTCCAATTGATACACAGTAAACACAGATGGAGAACATATGGTATTGGATTCATTTAAAGGCGGCTTCACACATTCTGTATTCAGCAAGTTGTGAGCGGCAGTCTGCTGAATCTTGAGTAGTGTGGATGGGTTGCTTGTTATTTGCCAAGCCATGAATGTTTCATGCTTGCACTACCCTGCTACCCACTGTGTGTCGCTCTTTTGAACACATCAAAGGAAATCAACATTCGCAAAACACATCAGCTGTTAGGGATTGGGCGAGCAGTAGTCAGCAGTAGCAAATGTTGAATGTGCGAAGCTGCCTTAATACAGAGCCAGCCATATTGTACCTTTGCATGATTGAATTATACTATATTGTGATTATTTTAGATTGTAACGTAATCTGTATTGAGATGTATGTTTTTTTTTTTGTTCATTAACTGTTTTCTATTTTGATTATTGTACTGTGAGGATTCATTGTATTTTCTGTACGTAATGGCGACTAACTGCACTCCTGAGAGAAAATTGTTCGTAAAATAGAATACTAGTCTACCCCACCAGCACATTACCCAGTTCATTAATGAAAATGTTAATTTTGAATGCAAATAGTTTAACAGTTTTATATATCTACCTTCCAATGAAGTTGAGTAAATTAGGTTGATTTCAATAGAATTTTGAATCAATGTAATAATGTGTCATAAAGCAATTTTTTTCATTTATGATAAATTAACTTATAATGATGTAATATTTAAAATCAGCAACTTATTGAAAAGACAAGACACTCTGTAATACAATGCATACCTTTCTGCACGAGCTGCAACAAGTGCTGCTTCATTATCCCGTACAATTGTTTGAAGACGTTGTATTAGCTCAATCGCTTCAACAGGACCTTCAAGTCTAGAGAGGAAACAATACTACAATCAATGTTCATCTCCTTAATAGTGTTCAGAGATGAAGGAAAGAAATATCATCTATTATATTTGAATCATGAATTTTTTTAAATTCTCTCTCTCATTGTCTGTCTGTCTATCTGTCTCTCTCTCTCTCTCTCAAAAAAAGAAAAGAAAAGAAAAGAAAAAGCGAGTGGTTTATTATTTATTCACTTATACTTGTAAATAGACATCAGGATACTGTGAAGTACGCAAACTTTTCGTGAAAAATTATGCATGTAATACAACTTTAAGAAAAGTGATAACTAAACTTCAGCTTTGTGTTGCTTCATGTTTGTGTTTTTAAACTTATTGACATTTATTTACATTATTTTAAGAATCATCATTTTTTTTTTAATATATTACAGCCATTTGAGTTTCCAATTGATCAAAATTTAATCACCACTTAAGCTTTAATTTTAAAACACTGAAAACTTCACAACTAATATTTTTACTTTCTCAAGAAGTGTATACAAAATTGTATAAATGTGATAAGTTTAGAATTCTGAGATTTTGGGATCCCTGCACTAGATCATTTCATTTTATAAGTATCAATTGAGTGGATAAAACTAATATTTCTTGGTGATTTATTCATTGACAGGAAAGAAATTAATATTTATTCCTACAAAACAAATGCATTTTGTATAATCAGTCAAGATAAATTGGTTACAAAGCCTTATTAATACTAATTAATGAGCAAATGAGATTATACAATAAGAATTGAAGAGAGTTGTTAAGGAGCCTTCCATAAATTATGCAATGCAAATTTTGAGTATTTTGAATTTTCACTCTCCTCTCTGCAATTAAAATGCTCCTATTAAAATTTGTGATAATTAAAGTCAGAATTGGTTGACTGCACTTAACAATAAGATTGGAACATTTTTTGAGTGTAAGATGGATGCATACATAGAAATTTTATCAACAAATGCTCCAGTAGATTTTGCACAGCGAGAATTCTACTGGTTCAATTTAACTGAATTTTAGAATTAAACAAAATATATATATTTGTGTTAAGTAACACTAATGCCCCCCCCCAAAGCTCAACTTTGTAACATATTCACTCAAGATAATGTAACAAATCTGTAGAAGACTTGAAGGTGCTTACCTTCCAACCACAGTCATTCTATTGTCATGTAATACAATGATTGCAAGAAAAGGATATCCATTTTCACGTAATGCTTGAGATACACGATAGCCTTCTGATGTAGTCACAGAACATGCCCAAAACAGCATGTTGGAATTTATATAATCAATAACATCTGCACATGGTAGGGTATACCTAAAATTTTAAAAAAAAAAGAAAAATACATAAACTATCCACTGAAAAGAAAGAAATGAAACCTTTTCTCTTCAGTCTGGACTAGCTTTTCAGTTCTCTTGCTAGCTACCCTCTTTGGTCACCCAAGGGACACTTTTCAAATTTTCTCAATTTTTTGGCTCCCTAATGCTAGAATTGAAACATATGTCTTGACTAATATAGATGTGTACTGCCCATAACCGACCTAGACGCCAGAGATCATTAACGCATGTACGGATTCAGCACTTTGGAGAAAAAGGAATTGGGTTCAAATCCCACGCATGGATATTAATTTAATGAATGTGTTGTTGCAAAAACTATTGAGGATTTGAAAAACTTTATTGAAAATCATTTGAAGCACTTCTACTCACAAATAAATACATTCAATATACAGATAAATAAACGGGGCATGTCTACACATGCTTTTCCAATTTGTAACTTTAAAACAATTTTTCAACTCTCTCTCATTTGATTTCTAAAACGTACATCATGTCCAATCAATTGTTGTCTTTCTATGCATCTGTATGAACCAATTTAAGTAAACTAATGAATCCTACAACATAATATTTAAATATATTAAAAACACTTCCAGTGGGACAAACTTTTCTCACTCTTTTGGTAACCCTAACAGTTCTGAATAGTATTACTTCGTCTTACGAAGGTTCTTACAATACGGCATTTCTGAGGTATAATGGTACAGGTGTTGGCAAGTTAACTATGAGGATCTGACTGATCTTGGAGATGAAATCCATTGTTACTAGATGAAAACGCTTTTTCAAGTTTACGTAGTTATATAATATAGCCGAGCAGTTTAAGCTAGTTTTAAATTTCAAAATCGTCGAAAAGGGTTCGTGTAAAGTACCCCACAATACTGTTATGCTATTGCCTCTATGTCACTTACAATTCTGTGTAAATTATTTTGAAAAATTGTACATTCTCTTTTTTTAAAGATGTCTTTGACATACAGATATTAAGCAAAATGTCTTCAATATTGTAGTCGAAGGAAGGTCCTGAAAAGATTTGCATTTTTCTCGAATTGAAAGATTTCTACAAAAAAGAAACCTGCACTATTTTTCAAGCATTATTTGAGACATCTGAGGAAGATAGACAAAAATTGGAGCCATTTGTGAGAAAATGTTGAAAATTTTGTTGAGGCTTCATGTAAAGTACCCTCAAAAACCAAAATATCTGTTTCAAACTCGTGTAAAACTATCATCATTGGAAGTAAGGACATTTATGATGGTAGAAACATCACTGTCTGAAAAATTGCTGAAGGATTGCTGATTTGCTAATTAGTTAAAATTAATATATTCACATAACTGTCAAAACTATATGAAATAAAGTCAACTTTTTCTTCAAATTACATGAAAATGATGCAGAACGTCAATTAAATACATCTTTAGGACATAATATCCAGTTACATATTCAAAATGTGTGATTCCTCAAAATGTATCACAAGTAATCTGCAACAGAAATGGAAATACTTACCTACAAAAGTTGTGTGTATCTTGATGGTCTTCACAATGCAAATAAACAAGCAGAAATCTTAGTTCCTGTTTTGCATCATTCAAAGCTTGACTATAAGTCCCTTGATAAAAAACAGGATGTAGGTTACCATATTTTTGTTCATAGGAATGAATAAAACTTAAAACATCTGCTACAGGATCAGTGACATCTGAAAACAATAAAATACATAAGACACTTCAGAATGAAAATAATTATAGAGCATCATTCTTTAATAGCTTGCAACATTTAATGAAATAAAGTTAAGTTTTAATGTATTTCATAAACAAAATTAAATGCAAATCACAATAAGTAAAAACTAGGCTTATCATGAGACATTCATCCTTGTATTTTTGGTACACCTTTCACTGTACAATCACTAATCTAGCCTAAATTCATGCAATTTCTTAAGTAGCTGATGAAGACAGATTGAGACAATTTGCACTAGAGCACAGGATAACAAAACAAGATCATTAAGGGGTTAAAATAATTTTCTTTTCTCTCCTTTTCCCCCCACACAGAATCAGCTTCATACACAACTTTTTATACTTCGATCAATAAATCAATCAATGGCCGATCCGGTGGCCGAGATCGCTAAGGCAGTAGTGCCGTAGCAATCTCGTACCGAAAGATCGCGGGTTCGAGTCCCGCCTCGGGCATGGTTGTATTGTGTTCATTCCTTTCACCCCCTATCATTCATCATCCTCCATCTCTCATTATCACCATTCTGAATAACATTCAGAATTGTAACTCGAGGATTTATCCTCACCTCAAGGTGACAAACTTTCAACAGTCGACCATGAACAGTAAAAAGTGAAGTGGAACGACTCAAGTGGTCCAATGTGGCCAATCAAGTTAATAATAATAATAAATCAATCAATGAAATAATTAATTTTAAAGAAATGACAGAGAGACGAGAAAAGTTCCACAGAAAATTATCATCTAGTTTTCCTTGACAATAATGAACCTCAACCAATTTTAAGTGAAATCTTGTCATCCTAATTAAAAAAGAAGCACTTCTCGCAACGCAATGCAAAATCATTAATTTTCACAATACACAACTGTTTGCTCTTCTGTTGTTATTATTATTGCATAAATCTTTAAAAATAGTACTTCTGACTAATTTTGACTATAATTTTGACTGACTATAATTTTGACTGACTGAATTTGACTATACGATCAGAAAACAAAAACATCAGGAAAAAATTATTACTTTTTCTTTCCAGTAGCAATTCTGAATTTCACACATCACACCCTCAACTTTGGAATCCTGAACAAATAAAATTTAAAAAATGTCAAAGGTAATAACCTACAAATGTGTTTATAATTTAATATATACAAAGTACGTTTTATAATCTTGGCTCATATGGAGTTTTGTAGCAACTCATAGGTGACACACAGCTCTCATATGTGCTTTCCATGTGAGGTGTTTCCATTCCTGGTGGGGGCATGAGAAATTTTTTGCTTCAGCAAAATCATTACAGATTCTGTGACAGTAGGGAAGTTGCTGGGGATGTGTGATAAACTAAGTTATAACATTTGTGTTGCAAACGGTGTTATTCATACAGTCTGGTTTGTACTTCGACTTTCTGATCAAGTGAGGAAAATAATAATAAACAACTGCACTTCAAATTGTCTATTATGCCTCATTAGTGGAGACCAGAAAAATATGTAGCATAAAATGGGAAAACAAGTAACGAAAACCATATTTGTTATTTAACAAATATGTAAAAAGGGATACAACATGTAATATCAAAATATGCTTTTCTTATAGAACATTTACAAAAAAATAATAAGTTACACAATTCTAAATTACATTAATGAAATTTTTACTCCATCAGCTTTAAGAATAAATATTGCTCAGTCTTTTTAAAGTTCACTTTTATATTAGAGAGCAATGACAGACATTATACCAATGTGAGAACTCTATGACCAGCAAACAATATGTCATATTGTTTTCATCGTGCTACAGTCTGCGACAACCAATATTTTCCAGAAATTGGCATTAAAGTTCAAGAAACAAGATATCATTCATTCCTTCCACACCTAAATGTAATATTCTCAGCACACTAGTTGCAATATATACAAAATGTTGAAGGATATTAACCCAATCATACTGTATCTTCACAAGTGACATCTAGCAATTCTGAATTTGTACAGAAAAAACCTGTACAAGGGAACCTGGTGGTTCAAATAATTTCTGTTTCATAGAGGGTTGCCAAAAATTCCCTATATTGGTTATGTACAGTGCGTTTGCTTACATTTAGGGTAAAACAAAATAATTTATCAATAAAAATATTGCAGGAAATAAAAAATCAACAGTGAAACGATGGGACAACCATTTACTCTGCCTTTTCTTCTGTAGCGGAAGGATTTTGCACGTATACCTTAAAGATTTTGACACACTAGCCCTACACTGCGAGCGTTCATTAAATTTTGTGGTATGCACTTCATCAACTGTATGACTGCTACACTAGGATGGCAAGAAAGCCTGCGTGGAATTCCATTACAACTCATGAAAACTTAATAAAACTGAAACTTGAGAACTAAATGGGGTGTAGATGACCCACATTAAGAAAGTGGCAAAATCATGTTTGTTGTGAACTTGAAAATGCATGATGCAGTGAAAGAGTCTCAAGAGTTCCCCAAGATACCCTGACATCACATATAAAAGGAAAAACATGTGGAACACTTCACACTACGCCATTCCAAAGAGTGTGCTGAAAATTTACAAATAAATTTCTTTCTTGGCCAGGTAATAATCACTTTACATTCTCAAAAATCATTCCATTTCTGCTTTCGACCGGCTTCCGAAGTATAGAAGTCATTTTCACATATAAAACCATTCCGTCCTGAGATTTTTTTGTTTGAGATGGTAGGTTTCTATCTTACAGAGATTCCATCTTAGACAGATTTTCCTGTACAAAGAAAAATAGCCATTTTATTAACTACTCTTTTTTGAAAATTCTTTAAATATATTTTGAGGAATAAATTTCAAGAAAATTGGTTTTGCAAATTTTGCAATACAATACAAAATATGTAATGAAGAATTTGGATTTTGTGTAAAGAGTACTAGGATTCACCAAGATCACAATTTTGAGAATTTAATATATAAAAACAAAACATATGATTATACATGGATTTATTTAGAGCTGCATCTGATATAAATAAACTGTTATGTCATCCAATTGGAAGATTGAACGTCTCCATAGTGACATGTAAGCTTGCTACTGGATGACACTGTAGCAGCTGATGTCCTGTCAGAGGCAGCTGTAAATAAATCACAGTATATATAAGAATCGGGGTTCTACAGACTTGTGCTACTCTCTTACAAAGCAGAAAGGCATATAGAGGAGACAATGTGTTGTTTTGCAGTTGAGATATTCTGTTTCAATTGCAGACAAACATGATTTCTTGACTTTTGCTCATAGTCTTTCTTTCTCATATAGAGTGAAAAGTATTGTTTCATACAAAACTTTTCTCTTGATGTTTAGATACAAGTGTGTGCAGAATACTTGAAAAACGGGTCGCTGGTTCAGGAAAAGTAAGCTTTCAAAAACTTGTCATTTCTTTAATCCCCCCCCATATTTCTTACTCTGAATGTTCACCTATGATTATAACCATAATGCTACAAATTAAATGTAGCAAACATGCAAATGACATAATGGATGTTACGAGTTTAGATTATTCTGTGAACATTGCAGGACACAACTCAGATGTTTCAGGAAAACATTGATAAGAATTTATCCTTCACGAATATACAAAATTAAGTTTATTATGCAGATACATTTCAAAAAGGTTGCATTACCAGCAATGTGCAGATATTTATGCAATTTTACTTCACCTACAAAAGAAGAGTTAATACAGGAAACGCTACCCGAATTGCTTCACATCACTCTGTAAAGATACAGAGGTTCTTTAATGGGTGATCATCTGGGAACCCCGTCAATCTAACGCTGCCAAGGTCTTTGCTGAAGGGATAAAAAGACAATGATTGACTAAATTAACAGAGAATTACTTCACATTCAATGCCAATGTGACATTACAGAATCACGTTTCGAAAAATGTTGAATGATCTCTACAGAAATCATTTTCACTACGGCACTAATTAGTTGAATATTGTCATTTTTCAACCCAGGAAGATCACACTTTTCTTGAAACAATTTTTGTTGCAGTTTTTGTTTTTCCATTGCATTTTTTTAAATTTTACATCATAAGATTTGAAGAGTTTTCATACCATTAAAAGAAAAAAATTAAATAGACGAAACAACGCATTGTTACCTGTTACAAATTTGTCGGCTGGTTTCACAGTGAAAAAGGCAAAATTAATAATATTTGCTTAAAAAACAAAAATTGTATAAAAAAAAAAAAATTGTCCAGTTTTTAAGGAATAATATCGAGTTTTCTCATCATTTTCAAAATCTCTCTGATTTTTAAAGATTCTTGTCCTTGATTTCCACCCACCTTTTCTAAATCAATGAAATTCCCAGACTCATTTTTTCAAGAAAGGGATCCTTTACAATAGGTTTTGTTTTTTGCTCCCAATACTGAGAGAATTTCTTCTAGAAAACTTTCCAAGCATTTGCTCAGCAACCCCAAAACCCTTAGGATCAATAAATAATTACTTTAAGTAATTATTCTAAAAATTCTTATTCAATAAAGGAGACTTTCAACATGCTTTTCTTTCAAAATCAATGCATTACCATTCCAAAGATAAATGTGGCAACATCTTTAATTATGATGGTTAATTTTAAATATGTTTTTTTGCAAAATCAATGGAATACAAACTTATAACACAAAAATGTCTTAACCCACTTAAATTCACATTTCCCATACAGGAACATAATTCTTTGCAGGTTTTTCTAGAAAAACTATCAAAATATAACTATTGAGGCACATACTGATTTAGGAAAGCATACCTTTCTTTTTCATCTTTTAGCAACTTTCTGTGAAATTTTAATGCAAGTCTTATTTTTATGAACAAAACAATAATGAGTGCTTCGATTGTGAAAAATTTTTAATTTTTCTTGATTATTAAGCACAGCATCTGATTAACTTATAAATAGGAAAGTTCCAAAGCAGAATCAGAAAGATCATATGGGAGGGTGTAACGTATGATAACTATTCCTATTCAAAATGCTACCATATTGAAAGTAAACTGAAATTACTTTTCATAATTGTTTATTAGAATGTTTCTTTATATCTTCACTTACACGAGCAATTTCTACCCATTCTCGTAACACTTCAATGAAGGAAGTAAAGTGTGATCGCTGATGGAATGCATGAAAGCATTTTTGCAGGTTTTAGTTATCACTAAAGACGAAGTTTTTAAGATATTCCCAACAATTTAAAAGATCAAGAAGTACACTGTGATATAAGAATTCATTAATATTATACAAATATTAAATATTTGACACTGCTGGTGGTGTTTAATTTAAATGTGGTGACAAAACATTCGAAACCAGGTTCATTGTCATTTTCACTAAAACTAGAGTGTGAACACTATTGGAAGTCAGTTTCACTTTCTGCACATGTCTACAAATTCTTAAGGGTACAGACACAAGAAACATATCATGAGAAAATGAAGAATCTAGATCTAGAATTTTACAAAGAAGTACCTTGCGGCTTACTTATTCCAAAAACCTACAAATACAAGGATTAATACACTAATTTCTGATCCACAAAGCACACAATTCAACACTTACATCTTCTAGGATCTGGTCGCACAAGTCTGAATGCAAACTGAAAAAAGTTAGCCAGTGTGTTGTAGCATAACTGGATTAATAATGAAAATACATATTTAAAGAGTCCACGAACTCCTGTTCCATCATTATTACTCGGAGGGGAAAAGAACACTCTCTGTGTTGAAGTACTGCTCACAACTGCTGGGGCTCGCATCTCTGCATTAAACACAGATGGTCTACCCTCCCGCATATTTAATTGTTCTTGCACTGACACTTCCAAGTCCCAAGAATGCCGCTGCAATACGTCCCGGCATATTGACATATCTTCAATGCCAGTTAAATCCTGAAAACGGAGGAAAAATTTTTCCAAGTTTAATTCCAATAAAATACACTTCAAGCCTCAATGAAAGGAAATGTCATTATTCGTTTTTTTAATTATTTTGGGAAAACCAGAAAAATATTAGAATTAAATATTGTACATGAGAAACAAATCGACAAGACCAAATATGCAAGTTAAGTTTACACTGACAGAATAAATAATACAAACCTAGGGGATAACAACATTAATAAGTAAATCCTAGAAGAAATACATCATATGAATTATTAACTTTTACATACACGACATACTACGAGTTGTCAAACACAGATGACAAAACTTGCTCTTCATTAGAAGTGTCTTACATATGTGTCATTCAAGAGTTTCTTAATGAATTTTTAATGTCTTGAATGTGTTACCTGAAACTGGAGTATTTTTTCCGTTTGTTCAGAAGTCAACCTTAAATGATCCGCCATATTTCACACTTTTTGAATCTTGATAACTCAAGGCGATGTAACCACAAAATAAAACTCATGAACGTCTCCTCGTCACGGCATTAGCACGCAATTTTTTCATCACCCCGTAGCTCGATCACTCTCTCTGTCTCTCTCTCGCCAGGTCAGAAACACACCCAGGCCTATCGCCTGCGTATTTTGGCCCCTTTCAAGATGCTATACTACCACACAGATCAACACACGCCACCAAAGCCACAAACACAACCTGCCTTACTAGGCATTCAACCTTTCTCAATCTCGATAGTCACTATACTGTCTGTTCTGTGGCCCTCGTCAATTCACTTTCTCCTAGTAACATCAAAACAATGCTTTCTCTTCGTCAAATGCATGGAAAATTGTGAAGCTTATTCATTTAATATTCCTTGCTAAAAAAATTAAAAAGAAAAAATCACTCACAAAAACATTAAATTTAATATTTTTTAAAAATATATTATTATTTTAAAATTCTAGTATCAATTTACAGTTTAAAACTGTCACTTTTTGAGGCTAGTATTCACAATCCACGCGTACAGCGCTGCAAAGGATTCGGTCTTTTGGGCATGATGGAAATGTCAGCCACTAATGTGTCATTTCCGCTAAAAGCGACCTCTGATGGACGTATTAGTAAACTACGTTGTAACCGGAGTGCCAAATATAAATCTAGAAAACTGAAATTGTATCGAAAGTTTTACAAGTTTTAAGAAATAATTTGGAGCCGTATTTGAGAAATTTTTGTGAGCCGATATTTCTCAATTTTTCGGTTTTCTAAAGATAGAACCGGAAACTTACTTTAAGAATATTATAGAAGACTAAATTCTCGCCCTAAACAGAAATTTTCGTCGAAAAATTTTGGAGCAGTTTTTAACATTTCGTTTTTGTTTTTGAACATGGAAATTTGAAGCCCCCTTTCACAGAAACATTTGAGTTTTCGAAAAACTTAGAAAAAGCGTACGAAAACCTTTCGAAGCATTATAAGTATTTCGAAGCACTTCCCCTCACAAAAACAATATTGTACACAAATCGCTGGGAATGTACGTATTAACGGCATGAGAGATATTAAAAGTTTTAAACAAAAGATTGAAGAAAAACATTGAGTTTTCAAGACACATTAGCAGTCATCATTTGAACCACTTGTTTTAACAATTCATTATGTACATATCACCGCTACTTTGTACCGTTAATTAACGACATGGGACAGATGTAACAAAACCTACAATTGTGTAATCTGTGGAAAACAAAGGAATAGAGCAAAATCGCGTTTACATAATCTGATTCAGTACATTTAACAATATTTTTACCAAAAGTTTAAAGAAAAAATTTTGATCCTTTTTGAGATATTTCTGCTTTTGTTATATTTTAATATTACACGTATTTCCCTCAAACTTCTGCGAAAACTACTAAAATTTTCAAAACATCTATATGACCTTAATGAAAATATTTATTACTCAGAAAAAATTCAATTGAAGGAAAAATCTCCATCTTCCATTCTGTAGTTGTAGGAAGACGCGGAAAAAATCAAACATTTTAAAATTCTGAATTCTGGGGAAAATCCTAGCTTTTTAGGCGCTAGTGACATTCACAGCAGACGGTTAGACGGATAGATAGACGGACGGACGTTAAAAAATTTTTTTTTCGGTATCAGGGGAACCCAAAACGTGTATTTTCGTTGAAATCTCGAATTCAATTTTCGGCAACGTTACACAACTTTATCAACACTTATATTGCACCGTATATACGTACAAATATGAGAAAGTATTATACTACGTATATTACTCGTATACTACGTAATATTCTACGTATATAAAGAAATATATGTGTATTACTCCGTATATACATATGTATACGAGAAAGTAAAAATCAGCTTTTTAAAATATGTAACATTTTGTTTTGAAAAAACACACAATATTTCGTGTAATTTTTGACTGAAATTTATGAAATTTTAAAACAAAAAAATTCTAAATAATTGCTTTCAATTGATCCTTTTAATTTTCTCCTCGTATGTATTAAGGAACGATAAAGATATGGCACTTATATCATTTTCGAAAACGCTGTATTTTCCAAAAAACTGCAAAAAAATCAAAACTACTGAATTGAAGATAGCGATAGTTGCCTCAATCGAAGTCAGTTGTAAAAAATCGTTTATTGAAACAGTTCATGTAGATTTGAATAAAAAATGAGTAGATTTCTCATAGGATGTGTTTGAAATTTATGCAATTTCTAAAAATATATTTTGTCAAACACTTCACAAAATGTTTGCATTAACATTTCCCCTCGTGTACGGACGATGAAAAATATGGTGCTAGGCTCATTTTCGGCGAATTCTATGTATTTTCGAAAATTGTAAAAATCGCGTGCTGGAAATATTGGATTTATGTAATTACATTTGTAAGCGTCGGTCCGAGTTTAATATTGTAACGAATATCATCTGCCCGGATTCGCTGCGCGGATTGCGTCATCTGTCGGCGCCTCCCCTTCCCCCCGAACTGGACGGTTCCAGGCTATTCGCAGGTCGCATGAAAAGGTTGAGCAAGTGCCGGGTGTGTCGTGACGAGCGCCGGCGAGGTATAAATGCGCCCCTACCGGCGGCCGCGAGTCAGTAGTCAGTGTAAGTAGTAGTCGGAAGTAAGCAGCTGCGAATCAGTTAGTATATGTAATCAGTGAATAAGCAGTCAGTCCGTCAGTGTGTCCGAAGTGGAAGCTGTGCTGTAAAGTGTGAATTGCGGTGAACAGTGGTGCAGTGGGTGAACAGCAGTCAGCAGTCTGCAGCGAAAGCTGAGATGTGAAGTGTGCATCGAGGTAAAAAGCAGTGCAGTGGACCCTGGTCTGCGCAGTGAATTGTGGTCAGCGCAGTGGACCGTGGACAGTGCATAGGACTGAGATAGTGTAGATTGCAGAGAACAGTGTAAATAAATAGGGTATAAGAAGTGAACTGTGTAAATAAATAATCAAGAGAACGGAGTCGTGTGTAAGAAAAATAATTAAGTGAAGAACACAAGGACAGTGTAATCTATCTGTAAATAGATCAAGTAGTTTTTAGTGTATTATTGTTACGAATAAACGTTTTTTTAATATTACTTCTGCGTGTGTATTAATTCACCTCGGAGAAGTGTTACAATATGTATTGTTCCAGTTCCTCGTAGTGGTATGGCCGATGGCGAGTTAAGTCGGAAGGCCTCAGTTCGTGTCTCAGTGCGGCAAATAATGTTTGCTGACTGAAAACACTTTTGGATATATAGTATAGTATTGTAATGTATTAGCCAGCGTGCCTCGTGTCACCTATTTGGGAACGCGTCGTAAGGGATTAGTATGAGGGAACTCCTCGCCACGGGAGGTAGAGAAGGGATTTCCTTAAAGCAATAACGCAGAAACGGGAGACACGAGGCTTTCTCCGGTCTTAAGGAACGGTGACCCAACCCTCGTGGCCAACAATAGTGTCAAGCGGGGGCGGCGTGACGTAGTAGGTCACATGAGCCTCAAGTATATAATGGAGTGCACAGAGCCAGTGGGTGGGATCTGGAGACAGTGGGAGAACCTCGTCCAGTGGCACAAAACTCGGCGCCACGACGGTGCTGCAGCGGGCAGGGCTCGCGAGGCAAGTCACGTGTTGACGAGCCTGTGCAGGATTTTGGTCCTTGGGTGACTGCAGTCACGTGGGAGCGATGCTTTGTGCGTGCTCCGAGGTGAGAAGTGGTTGAGTGCCACGACTCACGCCGATTCTCAATAGGGTAAGATCACTCCTGCGATCGAGGCAAATCATCAGTTGGTACGCCAGTACAAACTTTGTGTCCCAGTGTGACATCCGGTCACGGAAGCTTGGCTTTATGTGCGCTTCAGAAGTAAGAATGCCACAATTGAAACCGATCATCAATCGGGTTTGGATCGCTCCCGCGATCAGGAGATAGGTCTATCAGAGCTAGGGTGTAAAGTGGGAATTCATTGTAAATATTTGTTGTGTTTTATTTGTAAATAAATATTTGTTATATGAAAGCTCTGTGTCTGTTGTCGCTATGGGTATCCATGACGTCACAGTATATTAAGATAGTATAAGATGGGTAGAGCACTTAAAATAATGTGAGAAAGCTTGTGTTGTAGGATTGCTAGTTTGTGGTTGTGTTTAAATGAAAACAATATTTAATTTATTCTCGTACGCTATTCCTACTATTACAGACGCTTGAGGCAAAATAAGTTTTTGTAAATTAAAATGAATTAAGAACTTTGTATGTTTAACTGTTATACAAAATCGACTTAATGGTTTGGCAATTTTGGAAATTGAGCTTTAAATTTTTGATCAAATAAACTGCTGTTTGCGAAAATTGCAACATCCAGAAGGAATGGTCCGAATGACTTAAAAAGTAGTAGACGTGTAGAATATCCATAGGAAGTGATTAAATTTGCATAGAGCACATTTCACGTGCACATTGGCCTAACAGCACCCTCTTTTTTAGTGACAGGTCAAGTCAGTGTCAAGGCTTTAGCCACACCTGGTCGGTGTAGAGCCATCAAATAACGTGGAAAAGTGCAAAAGCAAGTGCCAGTACACCTCGTCGTCGCCAAAGGACGCACTATCAGCATCTGAATGTGTTCTACGCTGCTACGACAGTGATGCATGTGTGGAATCAGTGGATAGAGGAGGGTCGTACAAGGTGACGAGCCGGTATAGGACCATACAATGTGACAACAGCGCAAGATAACCGCCATCTTGTCTTTATGGCCATAACCGACAGATCGGCGTCGTTGGCTAGACTTTGGAGCACCGCAACGGGTGTAACGGGCGTGGGCATTTGTGTAATGAATTGTATCCACAGAGAAAGAACGAAAAAGACAACAATACAACAAAGAAAGTTGAATACTCTAGAAAAGGCTAGAATTTATTAAGAGACAAGGAAGATTCCTAAAGGCTTCTCCTAAACACAAATTGAGACAAATATTAATATTATTCTTGTGATACTTGTTAGCTTAAACAGGAACATGCCTCATTCTGCTGTAGATTATGAATTTCAATACTAGTATCGACGTTGCGTTCAGTACGTTGTGTACAGTAAATAAAATGGTGTATCGATTCAGTTTGTTGTATACAGGTAGTGTAATTATAATACATTAGTATGTTGAAAATAATCATTATACAAACCTAACAGAAGAATTCAATTCATGATGAACAAATAAACAGAAATGCAATTATTTCCCTCAGTGTTTGGTGAATGCGTTTTGGTCAGATTTCTTCTATGTAGGCTGCGATACAAGATTTTTCATTTTCTATAGCTATCTGATTGATTACTGCACATTATGACTATTTCCACCAAGTTCACTCAAAAACTATCCTCATCGAAACCTACAAATAGGCGAAACAATACCGAATTGTACATTTTAAATACCTGGACATTGCAAACAATGGATATATTACAAAACTTGTCCAATACCATACAAAAGGAACAGTTAAAAAATAATATAATTACAGTACTTTTAATAAAATAGAACAGAATTAATGGCACATGTACTTAGGTTAGGTTATACTATATGGATTTAAGGATTTGTAAGGCTATTGTGCACGGTGTAAATACTCACAAATGAAGTAATCAATTACAATTATGCACCACGATTCCAAAATTAATTATAAATACCTCCACTGTAGAAATTCCTAGCAATGTATTTGTCTACCACTAGTCTTCTTAATATAATCTTCCAAAATAACGAAAACAAAGTTTTAGTCACGGCAAATAAATATCGCCACACAATTCACTCTACTTAAAAGGCATGACATTCTACATACTAACAAAATGCTGAAAATTTTGGACAAAAAAAGAGCACCTGAGCAGCACGTAACGAAAAACCAACACCGCCTACATTGCCAGCTTTTTGAATTGCATGACGTCACATGTTTAGTTCGGATCACTACTCGCTTGCGGTAGGTCGCGCAGAAATCATTATCCTGTTTTGATCTCCAAGTTTCACGCCCCTGGGACTCTTATTCCCACAATCGGCGGCGTGCGCACCGCTTCACCTTTTTATTTCCACCACATAGACCATCGGAGACATATAACCATCGGAGTTACTCAGAGCAAAGAGTTTTCATGTCGGAGGAGGAGTAAGACGGAGTGGGATATGGTGAGATGAGTGATTCCGTCCGCCTGCGAGTGGTACTACTTGTACTTGAGCCGGCGCTAATGCCGCCGCGCCTTGTGTATATGATTGTGACATTCGTGAAAAATAGGTTAAGTGTGTCGTGATCTAATATGTAGGAACTAATGACAACCAGTATTTTAATAGAAGTGAGTACAAGTTTTTTGTGCGAAAACTGATATCTAAGTTGTGAATTGCAAGGTTCATGGAAGTGTCGATCGAGATGTTTCCCGTGCGTAGTACACGCACAGCCTGCGAAGATTATAAATGTGGTGTAATGAGAGGAGGGCAGAGTTAATCGTAATAGCGCTTGACAGAGACATGCCGTTAATTAATCCGAGTGACTGTTAATAGTTTCGCTGTAAAATATGGTTAAAATCACTGTTTTGTGATGAGAAGGGCGTGAATTTTAATTTTTCAGTGTAGTCTGTTAATTTGAAAACTCGGTAGGTTATCGTATACAACGATATTATGCCCCTTATATGAAATCCATTATTTAGAGAATGATAATATATCATTCCTTCTTGTACATATAAAAATTCAGAAGAATGGCTACTCACAAATCAAGTGGTCAGAGTGGAAGGAAAAAGGTTCAGGTATATACACTGATTTCGTGATTGATTATATATATTTTGGTGTGTTGATTTTTGGTCTGCTCTTTCATTCTTTATTTTTCTTTTTATTGAAGGTGTCATTTGTAATACGAGATGAGGTGGAAAGGAGGCATCGTGCTGGTGTTAATTCTCTCCAGTATGATGCTCATCTTCAAAGACTGTACTCTGCAGGGAGAGATAGCATTATTCGTATATGGAATTGTAAAAATATGAAAGAACCTTACATTCAGAGTATGGAACATCACACCGATTGGGTTAATGACATTGTTTTATGTTGTGGTGGAAAGAATTGTTAGTAAAGACACAGTATAAAAAAACAAACAAACAAATGAATGATAATTTCTGTGATGTATTCTGTTGTAACACAACTTTTTTTTTTCAGTAATATCTGCAAGTTCTGATACCACTGTAAAAGTATGGAATGCTCACAAAGGATTTTGTATGTCAACATTGCGAACTCATAAAGATTATGTGAAAGCTCTTGCTTATGCCCGTGATAGAGAGCAAGTTGCTTCGGCGGGTTTGGACCGCGCTATATTCTTGTGGGATGTAAATACACTTACTGCTTTGACAGCAAGCAATAACACTGTTACAAGTAAGTTGATTTTCATGCTTGCATCATATTTCTGAGAAGATATGTTAAATAAGACATTTTAATATTGATTTCAATAAATGGGACAGCATTATAAAATTAAGTTAATTAAAAAATTTAAATCTTGTGAAAGAAGTGTTGCTCTTCACAATATTCTTTTATTTTTCGTGGAATTATGAAACTTTCCTGCATTTGTCCCTCATTTTCTCGAGTCAGCTAGGATATGTGATTTTTATTCATTTTGAAGACTTGTTCTTCGTTTCATCCTGTCTTTTCGTTTTCCCTTAAAATTTTCCCGACAGCTATCTCGTAGAGTTCTTATTCTGTGATTAGTGACAGTTATTTGTTGGTATTTTTCGGTCTGAACTTAACTAGAATTCATCAGAAATACTTTTTGTATATTCTGGAGCAAATGTATTGTGCAATATTATTTTTGCATTGCCAATTACATGACTACTTTGATGTGGTTGGTTGTGGACTGTTTTGGGTCTTTATAAAATCTAAACTAATTATTCGTAAATTGATATATTTGTGGGGGAAGAATTTCTAAGATTTGTGTGAATTGATTCTTTTGGTATTGGTGCCTTTGTTTTTAGATCATTTGGTTATTAGCTCGTACTAGTGGCCTCCAGCAGCAATAATGTTGGAAATGGGTTTTCCCCCAACTTTCTGTGTATCTAACAAAACCATAGGCACTTTGAAAGGCTGGAGGCTGCATAATTTTCTTTCAATATTGGCAAACATTGGTAATTAATAATGTAATAGTAATGTAGATACTACTAAATAAATCAGTTAATATTTTCATGGCCCTTTTCTAAACTCTAGATACATACACTGGCATTTTTAGCTTCTTGCTATCTTCCTGTTATTCAGACTTATTTTCCTCTTTAGTTTTCTTATGTTCCTGTGCATTATGGATCATTTACCGAATTTTGTGATCCCAAAGAATACTTGTATTCTTTATTTATATGAATTATATTTGTATTTTAATATAATTAAGGGCTGTGTGTCCCAAAAATTAGAAAATAAACATTTTCCGTTAATATTCTTTCTTGTTTTTTTAATTTGCAGCATCTTCGCTTAACGGAAACAAAGATTCAATATATAGCCTGGCCATGAATCCACCTGGAACAGCCATTGTGAGTGGAAGCACAGAAAAGGTATTGAGAGTATGGGATCCACGATCTTGCACCAAGCTTATGAAGTTGAAAGGTAATATTTTTTTTTGTGGATAAAATATCACTTTAAAAGTAAAGCATTTGGAACTGGCACTTTCTATTTATTTAAATTACTAATGTTCACTTTTCTTGACTGATGCAATGGAGAAATGCAGGTATTGTGTAATTCACCTGACTACAAGGACTGAATTTTCAATGTCAAGTCTGATCATACTTCCGGTCAGAACAACCAACCTTTGAAACTATGAATTTGGCTGTCCCCTGAATGAATTCATGATGTTGATTGTTCTTCTCTGTCAGGGTCAAGCTGTCATAGAAGTCGTCTTTGTTATGTAATAATCCTTCTGTCTCATCTTTCATTAAAATGAAACATTTCATCGGTAAATGAGCGTGGCTAGTGTGTTCAACTATTCAAAATAAGTCTTTGTTTTCAAGTAATGGAATTGACAAGCATCTTGTGCGAATGAAAATATAACCTTAAAAGTGATCACTTGACAAACGTGTTACACATTTGAAATGAAGGTTCTAACAATGCATTAGTATTTCTTGTGTTAATAATATTGAAAGTGTCAAATATGAAATAGTGGAAGGATTTTAATAAAATGAGTAATATTAGTAAGCGGCTGAAAGATGAGAATTCCTGAGCAGGTTAAACCTGCAGTACTGAAAGTGCAAAGGTATGTTAAAAAATGTATTGATGTGTCATAAGGAGGCTTATGGTAATAAGAACTAAGTTAAAAAAAAGCTTTATTGAATCAATTAAAACCACAAAAATACCAACCGCATAAAAAGGTTTTTAATAGGTTCTAATAGTAACATTGCTATTCATAACTGTGGTTACATGTATTTGTGTAGAAAATGCACCGATTTAAGTATTTAGAACTCTAAAGATCAACTTCAACTCTTTTCTGTTAGGCATGTATTTCAAGTAAGTTCTAATAGATAAACAAGCAGGACCGATTACCTATTAAATCACGTTCTCAGTTGTGCAATACTGATAAGAATTGTATAATTATTGGAGGTAAGCAAGGAAATTTTGTTGAATTATTATTAGGTAATTTTCAATAAGTAATCCTTCAAGAATTTGACAATCGGAGAAGAAGAATGTGAGGACAATCAGAGTATAATAATTATGTTATAAATTATAGATAATGTTTCATCAAGTATCAAAAATAAAAAACGGTAAATAAATTATTAGACTTTATATGGATAACGTGATCTTAAAAACTCTTGTGGATTTTCATTGAAGTAGCATTCCTAGCAAATATGTTAGTTCCAGTGTCAGGATATTATTTTCAGATGAGCTGAGATATTTTCATTTTATTTTTTAAATCTGCTTATGATACTGAAACTGATCATGATATTCAACTGAGATCACCCCCCCCCCCCCCCCATAAATACACAATAACTTTAAAAAATATAATTATATTTATTACTATTTTATGTTAATAAAATATTAGTAACAATGAAACTCTAATTATGAAAAGTTCTCTAATAAACGGTTTCAAATATAGAACTGATAACACAAATTGGATTCACTTACGTCCAATAATTTTGTCACTAATGTTGTAACAAAGATGAGGGTGACAGTGGTCGGTAGTCTCATTATCCAATAATACTTTCCATAACAAGCAATGTTTATTTTCATTGAAGAATTTTGAATTCATGTGATAATTACCCATGAACGTTTGTATTAAAAAATAATTAGAATTTATTCAACCTAAAATTAAAAAATTAATTAATTGAACTAAAATACCAAAATCTAAATATCTAGTCAACAGATTAAATAGTAGCTGAGGAAGGATTTTCACTAAAAGCTATACAAGACATGAAATAACAAAAATAATGAAAATAATAGCGTATGTCAATCGAAATAATGGTGAACGATCGCAATGTAGATGCACGATTGAAATGTAGGTGAAATCTGAAAAGCGTTAATCTGCGAAAGTAATCATTTTTTTGTTGCAACCATAAATCAATAACGATTCTTTTTTGCAATATATATACAATATATGCGGGGTAATTCTGGGAATGTTGGCAACATCAATATTCAACACAAAAAATGAAAATACCCTATGTAGCTTTTCAGTACATATGTCCATGCAACAGGAACGTGTTTCAAAAGTTGCTTTTTAGTCCTAACTTTAAGGTGATGACAACAATAGTGTCTAGATTAGTTACAAAATTGGCCACTACAGTTTTTGAACTAATACCAACTTCTGGAAAATAAAGTAAAAGCTACTGCCAGATCGACCAGGTTGCCGCTCTGGGAAGGAATCAGCAGGAACACTATTACAATATATGTAAGCTGTTGGCCTGTATGTGGATCTTAACAAGCGTACTTGTCAAAATTACTCAACATGAGGTCTCTGTTTGGCTTCCCAACCACACAGTCTTATGATAAGTTAATGTCATAATCAGGGATACCAATGTCAAGTACAAGTATTGGGTCATAATCAAGTAATTATTCAGACTACTCTGTATCTTGAAGGTTCTGAAAAGAATGTGAAGGATCTGGACCCACCTTAGCGATTTCTTTAGATTTTTTTGAGCAAAAGCATGTACAAAAGCATGTACAGGAGTTCTCATCTCCAACAGCAAATAGTTACCATTTCATACCAAAAAACATATAGTATTTTTAATGTTGTCAACAGTGTTTGCTGTAATCTTTTACCTTGAACTATTTATTGTACCAGGGAAACTATCGTTCAAGAAAAGTTTCATGGGTATATAAAGAGAAAGTGACCAATAGTTCCTTAGAAAAAGTAGTGGTGTTAAAACGGTACATATGTACTCTCTCTCAGTCTCTCTCTCTCTCCATCTCTCCCTCCCCCATCTCTCTCTCCGTCCCTCTCTCTCTTTCTCTCAACAAAATAACAGCACATAATCTTTCTGGATGACAAAAACTCGTAGATGTGCCATCATTCATGGAGATTGTTCAGACTTGTTCGTTATAATCGGGGGTGTCCGGGGAGGTAACGTCGAAACTTCGAAAATAAGCTCTTGATACAATTTTAAGGATATTTTTTCTAATAAACTTGTTTGATATTTCAAATGACCAAGCCACTATAAGCATTGGAGAAGCTTAGCAATACTCCAGAAACATTGTAAATTATTTATTATTTACAAAAGATTTGAATATATATGTTCAGAAAGAAAAATTAACACAGAAATTAAAAAGCAATTGAATTGTGTAAACTGGGTGCTCTTTTATTTGTGTTAATTTTTCTTTCTGAACCAATATATTCATTTCTTCTGTTAATAATTACCAATTTCTGTGTTTCTATGCTTCTGCAATGCAAATGTTTGCCTAGAAAACACTTTTTCAAACCAACTTTGAAGTGCTTAATGCGGTGCAAGTTTTCAGAATATCCCAGTAGTTTTTTACACAAAATATGCTTAAAAGTGTCTTAAGAGCTTATTTGCAATGTATGATCATTTCCTCCCTGGACTCACTGTTTATTGGCTGCAAAATATTGAAATAAGGTCATGTTCAATATTTCAAAAATATGAGTTTTGTGCGAAATTTTATTTTTTTAAAATAATTTATTTCATAAAAAGCGCAGTTTATTCTTAAAATTTTCTCCTCATATGTGGCAAGGACTGGACTTAGATCCCATTTTTGGGGAACTTTACATATTTACAAAAAAAATTAAAACCAATTGAAAATGATGATTTTTGCCTTTTGTCTGTTGTAAAACATCAGCTCTTTAAGAAATGTCATATACAATTTTCTGAAGGAAAAAAAAAAAAGATAAGTTTTTGTGTAATATGCGTCTCCTTTTTTTAGAAATTTCATAAATTGCAAAGACGTTTCTCAAAATCCTCTACAAAATCGCTTCTTGAATGTAAAAACAGACGTAAAAAAATATGCTGCTAGTCCCATTTTCAATGAACTCTCTGTATTTTCAAATATTGGAAAAATTGCATATTGGAAATATTGGATTGAGACAATTACATTTTTAAGCCAAGTTTGAACCTCAGAGCACTTTTTTGGGGTAATGGTATGGCTGATGATGAGGTAATGTAGAGGGCGCAAAATATTTTTGGCATTTGAAACCATTTTTACATGTTTACATATACAGCGCAGCAGTTAGAAACAATATGAGAAAGTATGTGGTGTTTAGCACCACTAGTTTTGTTTTTTCCAACCTTGTCATTACCTATTAAGTTGAGTTAGTGTATGTTAATATAACTTGGTTATATGAATGCTCTTTTTATCAAGTTTTGAATAATAGTGCAGAAGTACAACTGTATGAAGTAGTATGCAGTAGTTATGAATTTATGAATTTTTAACTCCAAAACACCAACCTTTTGTAAGGGGTCATATTTACAAAAGGTTTTGATTTTGCATTAACTTAAATAATGGAGAAGTTTTTGTGAATTTTGAAGAATTTGCTTTCCTTAAAATTCTTTAAGAGGGAATTTAATTTACTTTACTACTGCAGTTCATTTAGTAAATTCAGATAATGGGTTTGACTGAAACTAATGTATTAGGTTAATGGATTAATTATAAAGATGAAATGAATAGCATTTATGCACATATAATTTTAATTTAATTTTGTCTCATTAGGTCATGCTGACAACGTGAAAGCACTGGTATTAAATAGAGATGGAACACAATGTTTGTCTGGAAGTTCAGATGGTACTATAAAATTGTGGTCATTAGGTCAACAAAGGTGCATTTCCACAATTAGAGTGCACGATGAAGGTGTATGGGCACTTTTGGTAAGATTTATATATCAATTGAACATTTTTGAAAAGATTCAGATCAAATACATTAAATTTAAAAAACAAATATAATTCAACTTAAAAAACAAATATGTCAAGTTGTTTGAGGTACTTTGGTATCTTTTGAAATCTGAGATAATTGAGCACAATTGTTTTGAAAGTGGGTGCAGCCTCCCTTTTGAACGGAAATTAAGTTCACATTTTTGGGCTCTTTGTGTTTATTGTGGTAATTGTGATTAGGTTGTAGTAAACTCAACAGTATTCGGCCAGTTACAAAAAATGCTGTTTCTCTTCTCTGCTAAGAGCACTGCATTTTTCTTGTGCAAGTAAATGAAGATTTCAGAGTTTGAATTTTCGTTTACTTAGGATTGAATTATGTTTTTTGGAGCAGGCATGGGCAACAAATTGATTGCAATTGATGAGTTGATCACAGGTTATTTTTGTGTATCTTTTATAATTCACTCTTACTAATGGTACACCAGATTATTAGATGTTGGTGCATGATAGGCAGGCACAGGTATACCATACATTATATTTTTCTTTTAATACATTTTGTACTTACATTACTTCATGTTCATACATTTTGTACATGCATGTCTTCTACCAAAACAATCTTGAAGTGTTTCTTTTAATATGTTCCATTTATTTCAAAATTCAACACTGCATTCACTAAGTCATGTAACTGTAATTCACTATTCAATAAATAATACTCAAGAGTTTTGTGAAACACACTTCTTGGTATATTAAATGAAAATTATTATTATAATTTAAGTTAGAATCGGAAGTTAATTGTTTTGGTAATAAAGTTGTCTAGGTAATAAAAAAAATTATTTTCACTTTCCAGGCTACTGAAAATTTTAGTCATGTGATTTCTGGCGGACGTGATCGTAAGATAGTTATGACTGATCTTAGAAACACTGAACGGTACACTCTAATTTGTGAAGAGAGTGCACCAGTTTTGAAAATGGCAATGACTCCTGATCAAGGATCCTTATGGGTTGCTACATCTGATTCATCTATTCGAAACTGGGTGAGTGAATCCATTGAAAAAAACTAATGTTAGTTATAAAATTTTTAATTATTTGAAAAAAACATGAAATTACTTTTCAATGGTATAAAATATGATACTACTTATGCACCCAGTATCATAATATTTGGTTATCAGTTCCTAAAGTCAAATTTCGTGAATCATTCTCTTTTCTTGTTGAATTTTAATTCTATTCTGAAATGTTAAAACATGTTCTATTGCAATGTGATACAAATATACATTTTATGAAAACATAAGAAGTAATATGTTATGTATATTTACTACTCAGATAAAATATATAGGTCCCTACATATTTTAAAGGGGTCATTACCAGTATAATCTGCCAAAATTTTATCTACTTTCTCCAAATTACCTGAAAATGCTCATACTTTTTCATTTTTATTTAAAAATAAGCAGAAATGTGCTTATTTGTTTCAGTTCATTGTATTTTATTTCTATAACAGCATTTAGTTGTTATTGCTCTATTTCACAGGGCACTAAGAAACAAAATTGTATAAACTTGTAAACTTAATATAAACAATAGATATTTCGATGATTTCGAAGGTATAGACCCATCAGCTTTTAATATAAATCATTCCTAGTGATTTTGGATATGACCATGCTGAAAAATGAAGTCAAAGGTCAAAAAATCTTGTTTTTTCTTTAAAAACTCGTTCTCGAAATACACCATCCTCAATTTTGCTAATTGATTGAAATAGTATCATTTTGTACCTTTTGAACTAAGATCCGTATGGATTTGAATAAAACAAGTGCCGCCACCTACAATATGTAATTAAATGTAAACAGTTATTGAGAACTTTGTGAATATATAATTTCAAATATTATAAAATTAGGTTATGACCTTAGTACATTTACATATTAAGTTCTCTTAATATGCAAAATAGAAAATACGGATTATCAACTTCAAGACAGAATAATTTCAGTTCATAAGAAAAAAATATCTGGAATTTTTTGATATGTTAAAGTATGATTCCTTACCCAAAAAAATTTCCCAAAATTTCAGCAAAATCGAACAAGATGTATTTTGGGAATGAATTTTTTAAGAAAAACTAGTGGTGCTACAGAATGCCTCACACTGTCCCATATTGCCTAGTTTTCTATTTCCTTTGACCTCGGCTAGTCATTCGTACTTGCCACATACTCTTGTCTGCTGCCATTTATCCCCACCCATAGTACATTTTTTTTGAAATTTTATTAATTTTTCGGTTTCCTAATAGTAGAAAGGAAGTATTTTTTCATGAATATTAAAGACCATAAATCACTCTAAATGGCAATTTACTTTGAAAAGTTTGGCGCTGTTTTTAAGAAAATTTCGAGTAAGCGCTACTGTACATTCGAAATTTTAAAGCTCTTTTTCACAGAAAAGTTTTGTTTTCGAAAATCTTCGTTTAAAGTCATTTGAAGCACCACTTACAAATACAATAGTGATATCAAATTCCTGGAAATTCGCATAATACCGACCTGAGAGGTATTTAAAAAAAATTACATTTGAATAACTTTTTGAAAAAAACAAAAACAACTTTAAAATGAACTTTGCATCATATCAAAGAGTGCAGTTTTATCTGTTCAAAAGGTTTGACGAAAAAAGTGAAGCTGTTTTTGTGAAAATGGTGTGTGAACAATGCGAAATTTTGATCTAGTTTTGACAGAAAACTGATGAGTTTTCGAGAAGCTTTGTAAGAAATTATTTAAAGAACATGTACTCATACATATAATAATATGAACAATTGCTGCTAATGTAAATATTAACAACATAAATATTAAAAAGTCAGAATTTTTTTTTTTTAAATTAAAACAACTCAACAGAAAAATTGAGCAATATGGTGTTTAGGTTATCATATAGAGTGCATTTAGTACAATCACTAACAAAAGTTCAAAGATGAAATTTGGAACCGTTTTTGAGAAAATCAGGTTTACATAATTTTAAAAATATATTCCTCACAATATTGCGAGAAAACTGCTAAAATTTAAAAAAACAACTAAACATACGCTTAATAAAAGACCTCACTATAGAGAACAAACTGTATTTCAAAGAAAAAATCTCTATCTTTAATTCTGTAGTTGTTGGAAGACCACGAAAAAATATTTAAAACTTCTGAGATATTCGTAAATTCAGAGTTAACCGTGAAAATCGAACATATGCCACATTTATAAAAGTTTTGAACTATATTCTTATAAGCAATTTAAACAAAAAACTTTTTGAGAAAATTTGAAAATGACCCAGGTGCTTCATGTAAAGAATCTCCTAAAACTAATGAATCATTTTCAAAATCACAGAGCTTTGACAAGGAGAAATAGACCAGGAGACGGCCAGAGGCAGACAGACGAGAGAGCGAGAGAGAGAGAGAGCGAGAGAGAGAGAGCAAGAGAGAGCGAGAGCAAGCGAGAGAGAGAGCGAGAGAGAGCGCGCGCGAGAGAGAGAGAGGGAGAGAGAGCGCGAGAGAGAGAGAGCGCGAGAGAGAGAGCGAGAGCGCGAGAGAGAGAGCGAGAGCGCGAGAGAGAGAGCGCGAGAGAGAGAGGGAGCGCGAGAGAGAGAGGGAGCGCGAGAGAGAGAGAGGGCGCGAGAGAGAGAGCGCGCGAGAGAGAGAGCGCGCGCGCGAGAGAGAGCGCGCGCGAGAGAGAGAGCGCGAGAGAGAGAGAGAGAGCGCGTGAGAGAGAGCGCGTGAGAGAGAGAGCGCGTGAGAGAGAGAGCGCGCGAGCGAGAGAGAGAGCGCGAGCGAGAGAGAGAGCGCGAGCGAGAGAGAGAGCGCGAGCGAGAGAGAGAGCGCGCGCGAGAGAGAGAGAGAGCGCGCGAGAGAGAGAGAGCGAGCGAGAGAGAGAGAGAGAGAGCGAGCGCGAGAGAGAGAGAGAGAGCGAGCGCGAGAGAGAGAGAGCGAGAGAGAGCGCGCGCGAGAGAGAGAGGGACCATACGCCTAAACCATGCAAAGGATTTTTTTGCAAATGGAAGAAACCCCTGTAAATTGGACTGAGTCAAAGCTCTGCGATTTTGAAATTTATTCATTAGATTTTAAGGGGTACTATACATGAAGCCCTTGGTACATTTTCAAAATTTTCTGGGAAATGGCTCCAAATGTTTTTTGTTTTTTTTAATTTCTGAAAATAATAGTCTAAAATGTACTCATAAATGTGGCATATGTCCAATTTTCACAGTTAACTCTGATTTTTCGAAAATTTCAAAAGTTTTCCTACAACAACAAAATTAATCATAGCGATTTTTCTTTATAATAAAAGTTGTTCTCCATTGTGTGTTTCATTAAGGTCATGTACATTTTTTAGAAAATTTTAGCAGTTTTTCCACAACACTGCACGCAATTTAACAAAATTATAGAAACAATATTTTCTCAAAACCCCTCCAATTTTTTTCTTTAAACTTTTGGAAGGAATTGTGGTAAATACACTCAATAATGACATAAATGTCATATTGCTCTATTCTTTTGTTTTTCAAATTGTTTTTGCCTTGTATTTCTCGTCGTTAATATTTACACTAGCAGCAATTTGCTCCCATAATTATATTTGAGTACTTGTGCTTTAAATAATGTCATGAAGCTTTTCTAAAACTCAACCGTATTATGAAATTTTGCAATTTAGGAAACTCTCAAACGCCAATTTCTCAAAAACGGCTCAATTTTTTTCCTTCAAAACCTTTCGAACGATTAGTGTTATTGCACTCTTAAATATAACGTAAAGTTCGTTTCGGAGTATTTTTTTATTTAAAAAAAAAAGTACACAAACGCCGTTATTATGCACACTTCCAGCATTTTGTAAACACTATTGTATTTGTAAGTTAATGTGCTTCAAAAGCCTTTTTTAATGATGTTCTTCGGAAATTCAAAAATGTTCTGTGAAAAAAGTGCTGTAAGTTTCGTATATATTGTAGCGTTTAAGCGCTATTTTCCTAAAAACGGCTCGAAATTTTTCAAAGAAAATTGCCATTTAGGACATGGTTTTACTGTTTTTTTATTATTCTTAAAATAATATTTCCGTTCTATTATTGTTTGTATGTATGTATAGAGCGATTTTTATAAGAATGAGTCAAAGTGACAGTTCGCTAAACAAGTGAACATGTGTAATTCAGAGAAGTATCCCTCTGTCGCGGCAGCTGTTCAGCGACGCCTCTTCTTTGTGTTTGTTTACGTCTCCCGCGAAGCCATCACTATTCACTAGTCTAAGTTTCGCTTAGTTTTCACACTCGTGCCACAATTATATAGAAAATAAATATAAAAAGCAAAGCACGGGACCACAAAACGCTCTCAAACACAGCTCGCCACCTTATAATGCTGAAGCCGCAGAAACGTGCATCGTCACCAGTACGCATCTCGCATTCAAGACTCCATTTTAAAACAAGCATAATACTTATCACTAAATTCAATCTAATGTTTATAAAAAAATATTTTTACAGAAGATCGTATAGGCGCACTATATTTTGGTAGGACGAGGACATCGCAAAAAGAGCCAAAGCCACTTCAAGTTAGCCAACTGCAAACGAACTAATGGAGCAAGAAGAGCCTATTAGGTTCAAGGACACAACGACCACAGAACCTTAAGTTGTGTTGCCAGCATTAGCTGTCAAAACTTCTCATTTTTTATAAACATCGCTCTATACTTGGCGCGACAGCCCGTGAATGGGCTCAAGCCTACCGACGACGTCCGTGCCTCGCGACCTTTGGTTAAAGGGGTAGATGTGGTTAGCACGTAGACATCCCCACGCCGTATTCCGGTCTTCGCAACAGGAGAAGTGAATTTTCGCATCGTCACGTAGTAACATATACTGGGACATTGTAAGGAAAACGCACACTATAATCTTGCCTCACCGGGAATGGAATCCGAGGCTGCGTAATGGTTCTATTATTAGTAAACCAAAAATTAAGAAAATTTAAAAAAAATGTATTTTGAGCGGAGACAGATGGCAGCATGCACATGTATGTGGCAAGTTTGAATAGCTAGCCGAGATTAAAGGAAATAGAAAACTAATACGGGAAAGTCTGTGCCATTCTCTTGCACAGCTAATTTACTTATATCGTCAAAACTATGCGTTTTGTCGAAACTATTGTTATTTATAAAATTAAAGTAGATAAATTTTCTTAATTTCATACAGTAACTTTGAATTTCTGAAAAACGGTTTATGCGCTAGAGTGCGATGAAAAACTGATACTTTTTGGGTTTTTGGCGAGAGCTGGAGAATTTCTTTCCTACTTCGCGGCGGCGCACTAGTTTCACTTTATCACGCTTGAACAGCTATTATCAACAAATAATTATCATTATTATATGATTAACACCCCGATACTCATGGGGTCAGTAGGGTTGTGTTTGCTTGGGAGGAGTATCTGTAAATCCAAGACATAGGTTCCCAAAAGAAGAGGTATATAAGAAAAATATTACGACAATATGTTCTCCAAAATACAATACTTTCTTCAAAAATTTGTACCAACAAAATACGTTTGGTAAATGTGGGCTAATTTTGAGTAAATGTAAAAATAACACTAATGCGGAATTTTTAGGTATTAAACAAAAATATTAAACCAGATAATTTCATAGATGTTTGGATATGCAAACTTCAGGTTAAAAAAGAAATAGAGTATCACTGTAGAATAAAATGAGAGTAAGGAATAAGCGAACAAAACAGCTTATATCCAATTGCCTATGTATGGTGTTTTTAAAACGTTTTATTTTCTCAATATGAATATTACTTATCTCATTATTAGCTGAATGTGTGATTTTTTTTAACAATCTGCTTTTTTTAAACTCATATGCTTTTTTGGATGATATAAAAACCAATTCCATTGTTTTTACAATTTTTTTCAGCTTATCTGGAGAAATCTCTGGAATGAATTAATAGGTTTACAATTTGCTCTTCATACCTTAGGAATGCTTTCATGAAAAAATTACTATATTTAGTAGTGTGTCACAAGGGATGACATTCCCTGCTTCTAAATATTTGTTAAATTGTAATGAATCAAAAAGTTATACAGTAAGAAACAAACTTGTAAAATTTCTATCTGTTCTCCATTAATATTCTGCTTATAGAAAAGTAAAAACCAAAGTTGGAAAGTATGCAGTTGAGGGTTATAATTATTTTAAGAACATTATTACCATGTAAAATGAATACAATCAGCAACAATGTCAACAGTCACAATCAACCAAAGACAGTAACAGGAACAATGATAACAACAACAAAACAATGATGAATTGATTAAATATATAATAAAGGTCAATTAAATAAATTTTTGCTGTTGTGGAAAAAAGGTTACGATGACTATAAATTTTGATTTTGATATAAGATGTATTATATATAAGATGTATGCGTGAATTCCGACATATGTTTAAAAACTCTAATGATTCAGTATTCATTAAGATTAATACTGATAAAAGGGGATATTAAGATACATTTTGGTAAAGCATTTCATTGTTTACAATCTTTCAGTTTTAGGAACAATTTATGTTTCAGGTTCTTCCAAAGCGTGATTGTCAAATTAGTGGTGATGCTGGTGAAGAGGAAGTTCTGAAACCTTTGAATGTGAAACCGGAACTCACTATCAAAGGGGGCCCAGCAGTGCGACACTATCAAATTCTCAATGATAAACGACATATCCTCACGAAAGATACTGAGAATAATATTGTTGTGTATGATGTTCTTAAGGTAAGAGACTCATATCTAACTAATAATATTGATAGGAACACATTGGTATCCATGGAGTATGGTTATTATCCAAGAGCAGGATAACCACTAAAATTAGTACCCATGACAATATGATTAAACTTGTTTATTCTCATATAATTAGCCAGAAATGTGTCGGGTTAGTAAGTTTGTATCTTTGTAAATGGTTTAATTAGTTGATATTTAGTATGTAATAATAAATGGTATTTTAGAAATTACAGGTTTAATCCGACTCCTATTCAATTAATTTATACCCCCAAAGAAGAGGGGCAGGAAGCAATCCCGGCAAAAGTCGAAAGCAGGGTCTTTTAGTGACTCTTGGAAAATAATTCTCTTTTTTTCCTTTTCCAATTGTAATATACCCTTATTATATTATTGTGTGTACTAATATTTGTGTCCATTCAAATGGTACTTGTTAACTCTGAGAATGAGAGTTCGTCTTGGAGAGGAAAAATAATTTGCTACTTGAAAACACTTTTGCTGGTTTATGTAGTAGTATAGTATTATGGAGCCTTTAGAAACAATGCGAGAAATTATTACATTGAGATTTAACACATTATACAGTAATTTGAATTTTTTCAGGCATCAAAATTGGAAGATATTGGTCCAGCTGATTTTGAGGAAGAAGTAAAGAAACGTTTCAAGATGGTTTATGTTCCAAATTGGTTTAATGTGGATTTAAAGACTGGTGTAAGTATTCTGTATTTGCTTTGTATAAGAATTGTATGTGATAGCATACTTTAGTGATGTGTGATCATGCATATTGTACAATGAACTGATGGACATGTTTCTTTAGATGCTAACTATTCATCTTGGTCAAGATGAAAATGATTGTTTCTCTGCATGGGTGTCTGCAAGAGAGGCAGGACTAGCTCCAAATGACATAGTGGATCAGAAAGGTAATAGGTCTTTTGATTTGTTGAAAGACTTATTTATTTCCATTATTATTGTGGAACATTTGCTCAATAGCTCACAGCTCTCTCCTGCACATTATTGTTGAAATAGGCTTTTTATTCTCAAGTTATTCAATAAAAGGGGGGAAAAAGGTAAATGCAATTAAAATATCTTATTAATGATAGTTGTATTTCATTTCTAGATTTTCTTCCTTCTGTATAATTTTATTATTTAGATAATATTTGTAGTGGATGCGTAATTTAATCTTTGTCATTGTAGTGTATTTTAACGTAAATCTTACATATTTTTCTCACATTATCAAAGATAATTTTTGTCATTACAGTTAATTATGGAAATTTGCTATTACAAGCACTACTAGAGCATTGGTGGAGACCTCTTCAAGTTGATGAAGATGCAGAATGTCAAGGGGACCAGCAAGCTGCGGGTCAGACACGTGGTGGCAATGAGTATTTTTCTGTTCCAGGGCACACCCCTGTTATTTTTAGGTATTTAGAATGTCATTCTTTTTAACTTTTCACTGGTTACATATAGGATAGAGGAAAAGTATTGGAATTGGTCCAGAAATGTGAAGTTGGTTTTGTGCTAAAATCTATTTTGAGGGTCTCTGAAATGAAAAGTCTCAAGCTTTTAAGATGACTGTATGAAAGGATGTGTGTGGTCTAGAAAATGCATACTTATTAGAAGCTTTTGAGGTCTTGATTTTACACAGTACTTCAGGAAGAGGGGTCTGTATGTGTCATTCCAAAAACACCAATCTTAAGATTGGTGCAGTGAGGATTCAGTGTGCAAATAACGGTTTAATTCTCAATTGTTGAGACATTTCTCGATATTTTTAATAATATAAGATCGTGAACGCTCGAAATTATTTTTTTAAAATTATTTACACCATTTGAAGCATCTTGTTTATAATTTTCCACATGTACCAGTGACAAACACATATATAGTGTTAATATAGTTAATTATTGTGCAATAGTTTCTTCTCATTTGTGAAGAATTTTCCCAAGCCATAGCTGCTGATTATTTGTAAAGAATTAATCTAGGCTACAGAAAGCCATCACAACTGAATAATTCTTAGATTTTTTCTTAAATGTATACACAGACCTTTTTACTTTCTCTCTACGGAGTACAGAGCATGTTATGTAATGCTGCGCAAAACAACTTCGAATTTTTGGCAGGAAAACTCTTATTAGAGGGCCCTCGTAACGAAAAAGTGGATAAATCCAGTTGCTAAATTTGGAGGGGGGAGATTTCTTATAATGTGGTTTAGCCAAAATCCGTATTTTGGGAGGTCCTTTATACCGAAAAATTGAATGACGGCCAAACGGTTGTCAGACTGCGAACAACGCTAGCAGCTGGAATACAGTAAAAAATTCAACTTAATCAATTAGAAACCTTGTAGAGAATGTTATTTTAAAAGATATCAATAGAAATGTAAATGATCTGGCAACAGTAGTAGCATTCTTTAACCAATACGATTTGAAAATTGCTGCTGATCTCACTAAGGGTCAGCCACAAAATTCAACATTTCCCAAAAATTTCAGACACTATGTTCTTTCCGAAACTTCTTCCAATGAAGTTCTCAAAATAATCAGTAGACCAGAAAATAAATATTCGGTCGGTTAAGATGAATTTATACACCCATTAACTCACATATTTAATGAATCCTTATGCAGAGGAATTTTTCCAGATACTTTTAAAACAGCTAAAATAAAGCCTCTTTTCATAAAGGGCAATTACAATGAAATTCAAAATTATCGACCAATTTCTCTTTTGTTGTTTTTTTCAAATTAGACTTTTACATACGAATTTAAACCTTTCTTAGTAAACACAGCACATTTTCAGATTGACAACATGGGTTTTGATAATCAAAATGTATGGATACAACCATATTTTCTTTTCTTAAAGATGTCGCCTCATCCACCAATCAAAACGAAGCACCTGTTGGAATATATTCAGATCTTTCAAAAGCTTTTGACATAATTTATCATAACATTTTACTTTCAAAATTACTGTCATTACGGAATTTGTGGTATTCTAGATTGGTTAGTATATTTGTGCCTTAAACAACAATCTCAGAGAGTAGAAATACTTTACTGAAATAATGGAATATTACATACACACCTTTTATTTTCTTTGCCAATTTTAGGCCCTGTTCTCTTCCTACAAACATTAACACTATGCCCTCAACGATTAGAACCGGAAGAACAGTTCTCTTGCAGATGATACGAATATTCTTTGCAATAAAGAAACTGTAAATAGTACTATATCAGATATTTATAATTGGCTTCATAATAACAAATTAATAGTAAATGAAAAGAAAACGGTTTCAATGCAGATTCCCATGTCAAATAAACAGCTATGTACTCCATTGAAAATGAACAGTGTGCCATTGACTGATTTTAGGTAACAAAATTTTTGTCTTTTAATTCAGTCAAACCTTAAAAGAAACGTTCATTTAAATGAATTGAACACTAAATTCTTTATGCTCTGCTTTCAGAATTCTTTCAAATTCAGCCAGCCTACACTCTGCATGTTGTGTATATTTCATGAATGTTCAATCTTGCCTGAGATATGGCATAATATTCTGTGGAAATTCATGATATAACTCCCAGACTTTTACATTACAAAAAAGAATTGTGTGAATAATAAGCAAATCCCACCCATGATTCTTGTAAGCCTCTCTTCATTAAGCTAGGTATTTTACTATTACCTTGTGTCTTGATATATGAATCAGTGTTTTTTGTCAAAAACAACTTACTTAAGGGCAGGAATATATTGTATCGTTTCTCAATGGTGAATAAAAAACACACAGGTAATATTTTAACAAAGACGTTTATTTTGTTTCTTATTGATACACTAACATTTTTGAGATAGTTTGCACAGCCCTTGTGTTCTTTACCTGGTTATTTTCTTATGACTTTGTTCTCTTGATTATTTGTTTACACTATTCACTTCTGATTATTTATTTACATAGTTCACTTCTTCTGACCTGACCCGACTTGACCCGACCGACTTGACCTGACCCGACCGACTTGACCTGACCCGACCCGACCGACTTGACCTGACCCGACCCGACCGACTTGGACCTGACCCGGACCATCCAACTTGACCTGACCTGCACCCGACCGACTTACCTGACACGACCCGACCGACTTGACCTGACCGACCGACTGACCCTGACCCGACCCGAACCGACTGGACCTGACCCGACCGACCGACTTGACCTGACCTGACCCGACCGACTTGACCTGACCCGACCCGACCGACTTGACCTGACCCGACCGACTTGACCTGACCCGACCGACTTGACCTGACCCGACCGACTTGACGTGACCCGACCCGACCGACTTGACCTGACCCGACCCAACTGACTTGACCTGACTGACTTGATCTGACCTGACTGACTTGACCCGACCCACCCGACTGGACCTGACCTGACCGAATTGACCTGACCCGACCGACTTGACCTGACCCGACTGACCGCTTCCTCACTGATTGCATACGAACTGACCGGCGCCCGTATCTTCATCAGAAACTTGCGTCACACTTCCGCGCGACTCACGAATAGCCTGGAAACGTCCAGTTCAGGGGAACGGGGGGGGGGCGCCAGTAGATGACGCAATCTGCATAGCGAATCCCAGAAGGTGATGCAATATTCGTTACAATATTTTCAGCAAACACCGATTTGTATAACTACAAAATTCTACGTAGTAATCATATTCATCAGGTGTCGGTATCAACAGCTCACTACAAGAAATTCACATACTATACATGTACATTATTTTACAACACCTTGCCAGCTGATATTAAATGATTAAATTCAATACAAAAGTTTGTGCCAAGTAAAATCTTTTCTGCTGCACAACTGTTCCTATACAATAAGAGACTATACTGAGCATCCAAAAGGAAAGTAACATTAATTTTAACAATGGCATTTAGTGTATTATTTACCATTTGGATTGTATAATTCTAAATATCCTGTAACAATAATTGTACTTCAGCTTCAGGGTCAATGACCCCCATCTCAATCAGGTTTTAGTCCAGTTTCCCTGGTCCTTCAACAACTGTTGAGATTGCCCTTTGTTTTGCTTCTGGACATAGATGTAACTTCAAATTAACTTCTTCCCATTGCACGTCACACACACATTTTAACTGTTTTTGACGTAAGTAAATCGTTCAGTTGATTTTCTCCAAAATTGATATTCTTGAATTGATCTGGCTGATGTCATGGTCCCTAGAAATTAAAAAAGATATTTTAATTAAAATTTTCAAAAAAGTGGCTCCTTTTTTTTAATGAAATTTTGTTGTTGGATGGTGTGAAAAACGTTTAAGCGAATGGTGCAGTCATTGAAAGTCTGATTTTTCGAAAATTGCAAAAGTTGAAACTTTTTTAGGAGTCTTCCTATAACTATGATATTAAAGATCGAGGTTCATTGCATACATAAATATGTAATTCATTTTTAATATTCTGGGCAGTAATTTGTTTTCTCATATTCAGTGAAGTTGGTGGACGAACGCTCTATCGTCTTCTTGTACGAGACGCGGGTGGTGAAACAGAAGGACTTCTCCTTAATGAAACTGTTCCACCCTGGGTGGTGGACATTGTGGTGGAAAAAAATCTTCCTAAGTTCATTAAAATTCCATTTTATCTGCTGCCACATGCAACGTCTGGTGTCAAGAGCTTAAAAAAGTGAGTATTTTTTTGAATATTTATGAGTATTTATTGTCATAGTTGATTTGTTGAATTATTCATGTGAACAAAAAAGCAGCAACTTGGGGTAAAATAACGTTAACTCCAATTTTTATTGGAATTGAGATAATGACTTATTACAATTTCTTCCTTTGAATTACATTTAGGGGTTGGACGAAATAAAATTAGCAATATTTTACAGCACTGCTGATGTGTGAACATGCAACATGGCTGGATTGCACAGTTGGCATAGCACAGTTTGAAGGTTATAATGCAGTAGATTGTAATGTCGTGCCAAGGGGCCAGATGGACAACACATGTCGGAGGGCCAGCGAGGAGGCGGGGGCAGTCCTTTGGCGGCAAGCCGAAGGCCACCAGAGGTGGGCCCCTCCTCAAGGGCCTGGGTGGGCGCGTCTCGTAACGTGGGTGTCAACTGGCGCAGAGGGAAATGATGGGTGAGTCCAGCCGCGGTGCAGCTGGATTCCAAAATTGCAAAGAGGCCCACGTTTCGGGATGAGAGGACGCCGCCGGCATGTGAGGTCTGTCACGTGACCCCTCGCGAGGCGGCTGGAGAGCAACCAGCCGAGGTCATTCGAGTTTGAACCGAATCGCTGTGCGGAAGGCACTTGTCACCCGCCAGGGGTTATCGCAAGCTTCGGCAGCGAGGTGTGGCGGTTGCCACGGGACGAAAGACCAGGAGCGGTGCCAAGCTGCTGGGGTCTGCGTCAGACTGGGGCGGGGATGCATCAGAGGTGCAGTGCTGGGAGTGCAGCGCGTTTCCGAGGAGTATGTATATAGTGTAATAAAACTTGTCAATAAAACTGTATAAACAACTCCGTGTCTGTGTGTTACTCGCACCCGACGACGCCACAGAATTAAGGCTTTGGTCTGCAACAGTGAACACAAGCGATCTGTGATATGTGTGATCTCTCAGACTGCAAAAGAGAGCATATCGTTAGTGCACGGTTAATAGGAGCATCTGTAAGGAAAACAGCTGAACTGTTTAATGTTTCATGAGTGACAGTGTCCATGCCATACACAAAATGTGATAAAATGTCATTGGTGAAGAGGAATACTGGGCAAAAGCTGAAATTAACTGACAGATATCAGTGAACATTAAAAAGGATTGTAGCCAGACAAATTAAAAACTACCACAGCTAAAGTGATTGCAGAACACAACACTCACTTAAATAATACCGTTTTGACAAAAGCAGTCTGGCGGGAGCGTCACAAAACTGACCTTCATGGAAGAGCTGCAATTTCGAAACCCTTCATATCAGAAGCCAACACAAAGCTGCGAATGAAGCAGTGCCACAATCATAAAAATCTTTGTTTTTGATGACTGGAAGAATGTGGTATGGTCCAATGAATCATTGTTTACATTATTTCCTACAAAAGACCTGGTTTATGTATAGCCAATACCAAAACAAGCCTACAATTTGCTGTCCCTGCTTCCTTCAATCAAGCATGGAGAGGTTCCATTATAATTTGGGCTATAATGTGGTATACAGCTGGTCCTATCATTACCATCACTGGCCTGTTTACTGAGAATGAAAATTTCAACATCTTCAACAATGAAGTGCTTACAGTGGCTAGCATTTTGATGCAAAACACCGCCAATATTCCAAGATGATAATGCACCCATACACACAGCAAAACAGATTCAGAAATGGGTTGCAGAGAAAGAGAATATCATCCCAAGTTTTCCCTGGTCACAGCACAATGGCTAGATCACAACAAAATAAAAATGTATTGGGGCATCTTACAGCAGAGAGTGAGGAGCAGATTTCCAGCCCCAACATCTTTGAAGTAATTGGAGGATGCTTAGGTAAAAAGTATGAGAAAACATTCTGTTGGAAACTATTTGGGCACTCTACAAATTTATTCCATGATGAATTGCAGCTGTTCTAAAAGCAAAGAGTGGGCCAAAATCTTATTAATAAATAAATATTTTGTGTATGGAAGTGTTCATATAATTTTGTCCAACCCCTGTACAAGGTCAAAGAAATCTCCAGCAATTACATTATACTCCTATGTTGCTACTTAACAAATTGAAAATCTTTATTCTTTTAGTAGTAAACAGTGTTTTGTCATTTTGTTTAATCCTATACTAAATGGAGTGGAATTATTTTTACAGTTATACCTTTAATAAGCGAATTGTGAAAAAGTGGTCTTTTAGAGGGGTGCTCTGTTATTACTAGGCATTGGTATTTAGGAAAGTGTCTATTTTATCATGTTTGTGTCAGATGTTTAGTGTATGAGCACAAATTATGAAAAATTAAACATTTTATGAGAGTTTGATTTTGCCTCTGATGTAAATGACTTTTTAGAATTATTTACTACCTTGCCAAATGCATTTAAAAATATTTAATCTCCTTCTCTGGGATAAATATAAACATTTAAATCATTTTTAGTTTGAGTACTCCCAGTAGTTTCTCATTGACAACAAAACCTCCATTTTCTTGAGGAGACTCAATATGTCATTTGGGTATGCACGACCCATTCTATATCTTAGAAGCGCAAAACTTCATTTTTTTCGCACTACATCATACAATTATCAAAGAAAATTTAAAGAAAAATCTTGAAGTAATGGGTTCTTAAATGTTCTTGATTGACTGCTGGGTTCAAATTCCGGACGGAACTCACTCACATGTTACAGCGAAAATCGATAACCCTGTTTTCCAAAATTGATATTCTACCACACCAGATGTACTTCTGAGAAGTCTGCAAATCAAAAAAATTGGCCTTTTTCATATCTGCATTCTCATTAAAAGAAATTAAACTGAAATGGAGCAAGCAGACCTGATTATCCTCTTGATAGCCATAGACTTTTGTTACTTGATTGAAGCTGAAGCACAGGATATGTTTTATAAATCATTGCTAATTTTTATTTTAACTACTGAAAATCCAGTGTTTTGTATACTTATATTTTTCCTGAAAGTGATCCCTTAAAAGAGACAAATTAAGAAAATTGCTTTTTAGGGGTTTCTCTGTTAAAAGGGGTACAATTTGCATGAAATATCTAAGTAAAATTGGTTGTTTAATGGCAATTTGTAGTCTTTCAAAGAGGTTTCACTGTATTTATCTCTGAAATGTTAATTTTTAATTTCAGTTGTTTGAAAACAATATTTTAGTTCTAATAAAGAGATATGAATATATTGTAATGTGAATTGCAGGGATCGTCTCATTGCTAATGACTTTATTCAAGTTCGGAAAGTGGCTGAGCATGTGTATGAGAAAGTGCTTGGAGCAGGTTCTGAATCAGGATCAGTAGCTGGTCCGAGTTCACCAGGAGCAGATCGCCCTGATCCTGATCGACAAGAGACAAGTTCAATTGCAGAAGATAGAGTGGAACTCCTCTGCAATGATCAAGTATGTATTGTCATGCGCAGCAAATGCATTTACTTGTTTAGGGTGCATATCAGAATTTGGGAAGTAGAACCTGATTTACAGTAATATAGGGTTTTTGTATCTTTCAATATCACCAGTAAATACTTCAATGATTTATTAATTTGTTTGAACAAGTCAGAAGAGTTCTGTATTTTAAGTGAATGGTTTACATTATTTACGTGATTGCAGATGAATAATTGTGGACTCTTTTTGTCAGGTATTGGATTCCAATATGGATTTACGTACTGTGAGGCACTTCATCTGGAAATCTTCAGCTGATCTCACACTTCACTATCGACCTCTGAAGTAGCATTGAAGTGTTTTTAAAATCGAAAGTTTGTGAATGGTTAAGTATTAGAACCTGCGAGGGTGCTATGGCACTTATTTGTTATATAATATTTGTGGAATCAGTGATACAAGTTCAGATGCCAATTTTTGCCAGGAAGTGTATTTTGAATTAGTGGAAAGTGTTAAATAAGTGTAAATATATATGTATGAAGGAACATATGTCTTGTGTGTTTGTGTGTGTGTGAGTGCATAGTGCATATGAGAGTGTGTTTGCCCATGTATATGAAAACTATTTTTTAGACATTATTTTTGTTTATAGTTTAATTTCAGCTTATGTCATTACTGAGTAATGGTGTAGAAAGGTAATAATTGTTTTACATATAATGAATATTGTTAAAGAGTTTGTTGTGTTTCACAAATACAGACATTTGTGAATTTTTCTTCTGTTTCACAGTTCATACAAAACATTAAAAAACAAAGTTATTTGCCACCTGAGTTGTTTTCTGTTGGAGAATAATAAAATTTCATGTGAAGACAACAGTTCCAATTTATAGTACTGCATAATACTAATTACTGATTTCTTAAACACTGTTTTATAATTGGTATGGTTATTTTAATACTAGGCTGATTACCTGATGTTGCTTGGATATTTATTTATCACAATCGTCTTTTCACACATAGTGGACCCACACCTCTGAATGTTACCCTACCCGATTTTCCAGCCATTTTCACACGGCGATACATGGATATGGGGTGTTGATATAATATGTTTGAACATAACTCACCTTACTGCAAGAGTATATAGGAGACTGTGAAAGGTTCTAAAAGCGCTAGCATATACTGAGACGAGACATATAGTTTCTTCAAATGTTAATGGATGTCTCATAAATGAATAGCGTGCTAAGACTAAAATCTCTGTTTGGGGTCCTTGCTGGTTGGACAAGAAAAGATGTAATTTTCTGTCTGCAATCCGCAATGTGTTAAGAAATCTATATGCCTGCTTCTTCTTCTCTTCACACTGTGCACGTTCCTCCTATTTAGCCTGCTGTTTCTTTTAACCTATGCCTTCTGCACCTCCAGGTCTAGCCCCTTCTGCTCCTTTTACTCCTCTAGCCCCTCATGCTCCTCACTTTGCTTCATCTGCTCCTCTCGCTCATTTTACTCCATCTGCTACTTGCCCTCCACTCACCCCTCCCAGTTCTTCTTGCTTAGCCTTGCCTTGCATCACATGGCAGTGCGCATTAACAATGCTGCCCAGAGGTGTTGGAAATTTCAATTAACTAATATTGTAAAAATAATACATTTTAGGATATACTTTTGAATAAGAATTTTGCTCCTTTTGTTTCCTGGTCACTCAAAAGTGTTTGTGCCAAATTGGAAATTAATCTACCCAGTAGTATTAAATTGTTTGTGATACATTGAAACTCTCATACTCTTACTTTCTTATATTAGATTTTAGTATTTTTGGATATAACTGTCTACACTTTGTTATGGATCCTGACTGTTTTGGGACATATTTTTGTGGGGGAATTTTTAATATGCAATAACAAGTCTCTAATCAAAAATTAATAATTTCATCGAAAAATATAACATATTTTTCAAAAATGTATCTTCGTAATATTGTTATTGCACCCATTAGAGAGTATAAATTAATTTCCACAGGGTCATCTGCATTCCTGCCTTCTCTCTTCCATCTATAAAAAAATAGTGTGTATTGGAAGCTATTGCAAGAAAATGCCTAACATGGAAACATAACCACTGTTGTTTTTAACAGTACAATACACATATCTCAAAATGAAATGTGACACTCCGTTACTCATAAAATGGCAAAGTCATTGTGTATAAGTTTTTAAGAAATTGTATTAAGTGAAAGCTCTCATTTTGTGAGTTCTTACTTTTCCGTATACGTACGTATATACGGAGTAATATATGTAGTATAAACAAAGTTATGTAAAGCTGCGAAAAATTGAATTCTAGACTTTAAAAAAATACACATTTTGGGGCCTCCAACCAATACCAAAAAGGTTTTTCCTTAACATCCATTAATGCATTTGTCTGTCCATCCGTCTGGTGTCTAAACACTAGTAGTGCCTAAACCATATGTACTATTTTTTCCAAATTGAAGAAACCCCTCTCCGTCTGGTTTGAGTCGAAACTGAGATTTTGAAAAACATTCTTCAAAATTTGGGGGTACTTTATTTACAAAAAGTCCTTTGGACTTTTTCAAATATTTTTAAAAATGCCTCCAAATTGTTTCATTAAATTCCTTGTAAGAATAAAGTAAATGCTCTTATAAACGTGGCATAGATCCGTTTTTTTTGGTTAACCCTGAATTTTCAAAAAATTCAAATGTGTGATTTCTTTTTCGATATCTTCCTACAACTTCCAAATTAAAGATTGAGATTTTTCCTTCAAATTAAATATTTTGTCCATAATTAGTTCTTTCATTAAGATCATGTAAATTTTTTTAAAACTATTAGTAGTTTTCGTGCAATAATGTGTGCAATATTAGCAATTTTAAAAAATTACAAAAATTAAATTTTTTTTACTTCTCTCCCTAGTCATTAATATTTATATTGGCAGCAATTTCTTCACATTATTATATTTATCAGTACGGGCCGATCCGGTGGCCGGGGTTCACTAAGGCAGTAGTGCCGTAGCGATCACGGACCGAAGGATTGCGGGTTCGAGTCCCGCCTCGGGCATGGTTGTGTATTTGTGATTGTCCCTTCACCTATCTCATAACATCATCCTCCATCTCTCATTATCATCTTTCTGAATAACATTCAGAATTGTAACTCGAGGATTTTATCCTCACCTCAAGGTGATACTTTCGACAGTCGACCATAAACAGTAAAAAGTGAAGTGGAATGACTCAAGTGGTCCAATGTGGCCAATCAAGTTAATAATAATAATAATAATAATAATTTATGAGTACATGTGGTTTAAATAATGTCTCAAAACTCAACCGTTTTGTGTTAAAATCTAGCTCAAAATTCCTCATTTTCAGAAACGTCCAAACGCAATTTTCTCAAAAACTGCTCCAAATTTTTTCTTCAAACATTTCGAAAGGATAGTGCTAATTGCACTTTCTTTTATCAGATAAAGTTCATTTCAGGGCTTTTTTTTCTTTTTTCAAGAAATTACTGTAATTTGCTTTTTTTTAAAGATATGATGGTAATATGCATGTTTCCAACAATTTGTAAACACTATTGTATTTGTTAGTTACTGTGCTTCAAATTAAGTTTATCAAAAACTCAAAAATTTTCTGTGAAAAAGTGCTTCCAAATTCGAATATACTGTAGCGCTTAAGCGCCATTATCTTAAAAACGGCTCCAATTTTTTAAATGAAAATTGCAATATAGGATGATGTTTTACTGTTCTTTAACATTCTTATTATAATATTTCCGCTTTACTATTAGGAAACAAAAAAACTTAAGAAAATTGCAAAAAAATGTACAATGGGTGGTGATAGAAGGCAGCAGGCATGAGTATGTTGGCAAGTTTGAATAGCTAGCCGACACCAAATGAAATAGAAAACTAATAAGGAAAGTTTGAGCCATTTTGTAGCACCACTAGTTTTTATATGGATACAAAGGAAAAGACCTTTAAGAGAAGTTATAATTCAAGCAGTCACCAAGTGTGTGTTTGGTTTAATTATCTGTTTTTTCAAAAGCTGGTTAAACCAGCAGTAGGCTAGCTATGTTTTGTAACCAATTAACTTGGTCCCCTCACAGTAAAAAGAACAAATTCTTTCGGATGCAGTTTCTCTTTTGGTTCTTAATTTTGACACCTTGTATAATTAAAAGTGCTGGGTGCCACCAAAAATGGTTTTGTAAGGTTATGCAAAATATTTTGAAAACTCGAAAAGTTTTTTTTTGAAAAAGAGCTTCAAATTTCACATTTGCAGTAAGGCTTGAACGTAGTTTTCATAAAAACGGCTTGAGATTTTTCAGTGAAAATTGCCATTTGGGACGAAGTTGTACTCTTCTTTAATATTCTTAAATAAATATTTCGGTTCTGCTATTAGGATATCGAAGAATCGAAAAAAAAGAAAAAATTCAAAAGATTGTACTTTCAGCGGCTATAGAACGCAGCATACAAGAACATTTGCCAAATTCGAATAGCTAGCCCAGACCAAAGAAAAAAATAGTAATACGAGGAAGCCTGTATCATTCCGCAGCAACACATCGGGTTACTTCTTCGCCCTTAAGAAGGTACGTAAGAAGAGAAAGTTATGTAGTGGTATGCGAAAAAACTAATTTTCGGCAGCAAAACTACCGGGCCCAGGTAAGGAACAGTGGATAAATCCATGTTTTGTGAATCCTTGATACCGAAAAGTCGATTGACGGCAAAACTGTCCGTCTGAACAATGTTAACGGCTAAAACGTTCAGACGCGTATCTCCAAAATTGGTATTTTCCGATCGAGCTGGCTGATGTCACGGACCCTTGTATTTGAAAACGATATTTTAATTTTGGAAACACTTCATGGAACTCCTGAGACAAAATCAAAATTTTCAAAAAATGGCTCAATTGTTTTTGAATCAATTTTGTTATTAGGTAAGAGAATGGTGCTGGTCCCATTTTCTTATAAACTGATTTTTTCGAGACCTGCAAAATTTTTGTTCTTAAAACTAAAATATTAATCATAGAGATTTTTCTCTTAATAAAATCTGTTCCTTAAAGATAGATTTTGAAACAAGGTCATGTAAAATATCCCGAAAAGTTGAGTATTTGTCGCAATATTTTGCGTGTGTTGGCACATTGACCGCCAAATTTCTTCAAATTTGACGTCTCATTTCTAATAAGGCACTTTTGATGTTCTTTGAAGGCGATTCGTAGGAAAGGATCATACATTCCAAACTTGGCGCTCTGGAGATACTTCTCAAAAAAGCCGCGCGAATTTCTTCCCAGTTGACCAAATACATCTTTCGTACTAAGTTCCTTGACGTAGAATGTCAACTGCTTCCTGTTAGATAGCATCAGCTCTTCATGCGAACCATGTGTGTCATTGCAAGAATTCTGATAAAACCCAGATTTGCTGATTAAAGCCACAGAAGCAAAGTGCATAAAGCTTAGTAAAAACGTATTCGTCATTTTCAAGGTTCAATTTAGAGTGTGTTAGGCACTGGATGCAGTCGTAACATGAAGTAAAATCGACGCAATTCGTAAAGAAACATTTGATTTCGTCCGGACAAAGGAAACAATCTTTTCAATGCTCGTTAATTCTTTATCCAAGAAACAATATTTGTCAATTGTGTGTCGTGTCTTTTCCATTACACTTGTCTGATAAAAAAAAACTACTGATAGAAGAGGCGATGATTCGTTGCAGCTTCTACTCATTGCTGTCCCACCTTATCCTACGAGTATTTCGCAGCCTTAACAGCGTGAAATATAGACAATTTTTTTAATTTTGTTGAAACAATTTTTTCTCAAAAACGGCTCCATCGGTTTTGATAAAATTTTATTGTTCGATAGTCTGAGGGACGTTTAAGAGAATGGGGCAGGTCATCATTGGTTAAAAAACTCTGATTTTTCGAAAATGTGAAGATATTAAAAATTATTTTGGCGCCTTCTCAAAACTACAATTATGAAGATGCATTTTTTTAAAACTGGTTTTCGAGTAAGGTCATGTTCGATTTTTCAAAATTGTATTTTGCGTAAATTGGAAGAGAATTCAAAATAGTAAATTCTAATTTACAGCGCTTCGTTTGCGGTGTTATCATTCTGTTAAAGTAATTTGAGAGGCTGTTGGATATTCTCAAAATCCCTACTATTTATTAAACTTAATAATTAATTCAATATTACAAATCGTAGAACATTAGGTGCGAAAATGTATGCTAGTATCCATATTAGACACAATGTAAATACATATTACGTAAGCGTTACAAATATTACGTGAAAGAACATGATTTCTCGCAACCATTTGCACGAAAGGCAAAGTAATATTCAGGTGATTAATTTGGAATATTTATTAATTTGAGCGTTTCACTCAGGGGACTTGAAATCATTCTAATTTCTAAGATTTATCTTCATGGATCCGCTCGCAGTGTTGCCATTATTTTATTAAAATTTACTTAATTAATTTAATTATAATTATCGTTTAATTTATAATTTACTATTGACAATAATTTTGTACAAACTTTTATTGAGGAAGAAGAAATTCAACCGGTGGCACAGAAAAAAAATGTTCATGCGGCGTGGACACACCACAATTCCGGGAGAAACTTTACGCAGCTACGAACTGCGTTGGTTCGCTGGCGACATCGAATTCCTTGCGGTGTGGACGGCACCGATACACGACTCAGCTTCCGTCGGGAGGAGGGGAGAGAGTGAAGGATGGCAGCAGAACATTAAATATTCTAAAATTTTCTTCGTCGTTCGCAGTGAAAGTTTTTAAAAAGCGGCAGAATCTGAATTATCAGTGAGGGAGTGCCGTGAATTATTGGAATTGAAACTAATTCACTCAAGCAATGTCCATTTTTTTGAGATCAGAGTATCTAACTGAAAGACCATAAGAAAGAATAATATTGATCAAATACCAGAAAGAGAAAGAATTTGTAAATAAAAAATATTTTCTTTTGATGGGTTAATTTAATGTCAATGATAAAATTGAAGTGTTATTTTGAGACCAATGTGCATTTAAATTGTATCTGGGTCTTCTTTTTCATGAATATAATTTTTGAGCGGTAAATTTTCTATCAGTATTAGAATGAGATGCAATAGGAACGTGCAAGAGTAAAATTTAATGGCCAGTAGAGAAACTATTAAAGCTAAAATTTGGAAGCGCTTAGGAGAGTTTGTAAAGTTATAACATTTATCAAGTACCTATGTTTTGGTTACCTTTGTGTTCTCTTTTTGATTCATTTGGTAATTAATGAATTCCGTCTTAGTGAAAATTCATGTCACAATACATTGTGATCCGAACACATTTTCTCTCTACAAAAATCTCTGGACTGTAAGTCCCCCAAATCTACAATTTTTTATTATCTGCGTATACATATAGTCACAAAATAATTGC